CAAAACATCAGTATGACAGACAATAGTATCAGAACATGACATCAGTATGACAGACAATAGTATCAGAATATGACATCAGTATGACAAACAACTATCAGAACAAGACATCATTATGACTGACAACAGTATCAGAATATGACATCAGTATGACAGACAACAGTATCAGAATATGACATCAGTATGACAAACAACAGTATCAGAATATGACATCAGTATGACAAACAACTATCAGAACAAGACATCATTATGACTGACAACAGTATCAGAATATGACATCAGTATGACAGACAACAGTATCAGAATATGACATCAGTATGACAGACAACAATATCAAAACAAGACATCAGCAAGACAGACAAGAGTATCAGAACAAAACATCAGTATGACAGACAATAGTATCAGAACATGACATCAGTATGACAGACAATAGTATCAGAATATGACATCAGTATGACAAACAACTATCAGAACAAGACATCATTATGACTGACAACAGTATCAGAATATGACATCAGTATGACAGACAACAGTATCAGAATATGACATCAGTATGACAGACAACAATATCAAAACAAGACATCAGCAAGACAGACAAGAGTATCAGAACAAAACATCAGTATGACAGACAATAGTATCAGAACATGACATCAGTATGACAGACAACAGTATCAGAATATGACATCAGTATGACAAACAACTATCAGAACAAGACATCATTATGACTGACAACAGTATCAGAATATGACATCAGTATGACAAACAACTATCAGAACAAGACATCATTATGACTGACAACAGTATCAGAATATGACATCAGTATGACAGACAACAGTATCAGAATATGACATCAGTATGACAAACAACAGTATCAGAACAAGACATCATTATGATTGACAACAGTATCAGAACAAGACATCAGTACGACGGACAATATTATCAGAACATGACATCAGTATGACCGACAACAGTATCAGAACAAGGCATCATTATGACAGACAATAGTATCAGAACATGATATCACTATGACAGACAACAGTATCAGAATATGACATCAGTATGACAAACAACTTTCAGAACAAGACATCAGTATGACTGACAACAGTATCAGAATATGATATCACTATGACAGACAACAGTATCAGAATATGACATCAGTATGACAAACAACTATCAGAACAAGACATCAGTGTGACTGACAACAGTATCAGAATATGATATCACTATGACAGACAACAGTATCAGAATGTGACATCAGTATGACAAACAACTATCAGAACAAGACATCAGTATGACAGACAACAGTATCAGAATATGACATCAGTATGACAGACAACAGTATCAGAATATGACATCAGTATGACAAACAACTATCAGAACAAGACATCATTATGATTGACAACAATATCAGAATATGACATCAGTATGACTGACAACAGTATCAGAATATGACATAAGTATGACGGACAACAGTATCAGAATATGATATCATTATGACGGACAAATTTAACAGTATATAACATTATAATGGCAGAGAGGAAATGTCCTGAATGTGATCCTTTAGTCCGAATACATATATATTACCTAGATGATAGAACCTGTTGCTCATAACAATTTATTTCACAGCAAAAAATTTTAGGTATATGAGTCATGGACAGACATTCATAACAATTGCTGTGATAATGGCCACAAGTTAACAACCTTCATATTTGGAAACATTTAAAGTGTGAGCAGGATCAATATTCTTCTCTAATATTACATTGACTTAACCAGAAAAGGATAAACATAGATTATCTAAGATTATGATGATCTGATCTAAATTAGGCTGTTAAAATTCATTACAGAATACAGGGTTTTCCATAAGAGCCGGTCGCCGCCCAATTTGATCGGCTACTTTGATCATTTGGCCGCCTACACCAATCCAGTTCCGTAATAATGTTCTGTACACAACTACACGTACATGGCAGGACAGCCTCCTACTTTCACTACACAGCCTACTACTGACAAAATTATGGAAAACCCTGAGAATATATGTACTAGTCTTTCATTTCAGCCATATTCAGATGAGGACCGTGCTATAGAGTGTTATCACTCACTAATTCTTGTGGCCAACAGATGGACTTGTCAATGCAAATGTTAATTAATATATAACTGATTCTATTCTGACTTTATAAATCTAGCCCAGGAGTTAAAACATTCAAATTTATGTAAAGAATACTTATGCAGTCTTCATTTTTTAAAAAAAATCACTAGCATTAAACAATAGGAAATGAAATAGAGATTTTCAACTTGTTTGAAATATGAAGATTATTTCTCTCTTATAATTAAAGTCATTTTATTCCACTTATTGTTCTAAAACATGTAATATCTTGATTTAATGCAGAAGTGCTATGCCTTTATTATGTTTCCTTTCAATAAGATACAGTAACACAAAACATTTGTATTTCTGTAGTGCTTGTGTTTGGATTCTAACTCCCACAGCACAACTCTATTCATGCTTTATAAGTTCCTGGACTAAACAATCTGCTGCAGTGAATATGGGTCCATCCTGAATATCATGCAAATTTGCCAAATCTGTCACCTCAATAATGTTGCAAGATAAATAGAAGTAAACAGCACATGTAAATCAAGCCCGTGCTAGTATTATCCAATATATACAACAATTCATTTACTATGGATAATAAAATATGGACCTGTACAATATATAATTATATATATATATATCGAATGACTTTTATGTGACTCTAGATCTGCTTCAGAAAATTCATGACAGCCTATCGTGCAAATTTCTTTAGAATTTCAATACACCTGCAGTAATTTTCATGCAAATAATGCAAATATTATGCATGTTATGACTACAGTGATGTCAATTATTAAAAAGGTATAATTAAAACCATTTTTTTTTACTTTCCTAATGAAATAAATTTCAGTAATTGAAAATCATGCTTGATTAAAAACAATTATGCAGATACTGCAAAACATTACAAGCAAGAGACTATAATGATATAGACCTCATTCATTTTTTTACAATTTTCACTAACTTGTTCAGAAAGCTTAAGCTCTAGCATTAACCTTAGAACTTTTCAACAGAAATTGTGATCATGACCAGTTAATTTTCTAGTTACCTTTAACATAGACTGAAGTAATCTGTTATTTGAATTTCGATATCCAACAATTCCAGATACGTACAAGGCACTAATCGAATACACAAGTCATTCTGTTTTTCAGATGCAAGAGGCCAGAGATTTGAGAAATACTTTAATAAAATAAAAATTGCTAATAAATGTTGTTTTTGACTTTATCATAATCAAGATGCCAGACTGATATTAAACAATATCGCAGAAAGATTTTGGCAACCACCATTGTATGACCTTTATTCGTTATTTATCGATTTTCTCCTCTTCTTTTAAATCCATCCCCAAATTAAATTATGCACATTCAGGGACCATGGAGAACATGCTATATTCACGTAAAATTTGAGAATGATCAATCCAGTGCTTCTCAACAAATGATGAACTTCCTTCAAAATCCAAGATGGTCAGCCATTTCGTTCTTTGGGTCCCAATATTCATTATTTACATAGATAGACAATGGCAAGTCCACATTAATAATGCACTTGTAAGGACCATGGGCAGTCTTCAAATGAAATATGAGAAAGATCCATTTGGTATTTCTATAGAAGTAATAACAAACTTGAACTGTCAAAACCCACAATGGCTGTTACTTTTGGGTGATATTTAGATATTTTCATCTATGTTTTTCCTGAAAGTATCATAGAAATTCTCAGAATATGCATTATAATGAAAATCACATTCACTTTCACAAAAACCTGAAATCCTCCCATAACAAACCAAAATTATTCTTGTCTGATGACCATTTCATTTTTTAGATCAGTCCTCAAAATGATTTTGAACAAGGGACCATGGGGAAACATATATCTGAAATATGAAATTGATCCATCCTATACTCCTCAACAAATAGCGATAAAAATTTAACTTTGAACTGTCAGTCATTTTGTTTTTTTCTGATTATGTTAGTTTCAACTTTGAACATACACATACAGCAACCAGCATTTGTGGATGGGGAGCATACATCTGAACTTTGAGAATTATTGATCCAGTACTTTTCATGATACAGTGACAACAAGTACTATTGAATAACAATCAACAAAAGACAGGCTTTTTCCAGGGGCTCTGTGGGGTCGAATACATACCCAATCCCAATTGGATTTACATCATATGGCCAAATTCCAAAAACATATATTTTACTCCCAAAATTTTCCTTCCCAATGGATCATTTTCCCCTAAAATGAAATAAAAAAGGCCCATTCCCAAATAGGTTGGAAAAATCCCTGACAGATTGTGGATTAAAGGATTTATGATGGTGGATTAAAAAGTCAACAGGATTTCTGATAAATTTTGGACTAAAAGGCTATTCATATCAATGAATGAAATATAGTTTGCATCCAGATAGCTATATACGAGTCTGAACTCACTTTCTTTGATGCTGCTTGTAAGGAACAGTAGATAGATTACAAAAATATATCTACATATTTGGGAACAATGCAAGTCAATGTCTTTTTAAATGAGAATAAGTCATGTATTTAATATATAACTTCGAATAAAGTTCGAATAATGGAGAGATTTAGGTTTTTATTATATTCCTGTTTGGCTCACAACTTCAACTTGCTGTCATAAATGTCATGTCATCTCATACGCACCATGAAGTCTAACATGTCTGTATTAATACAAGAAAAAACTCAGCGACGAATGAAAATTAAGATAGAGAAATTGTATAACAAGTAAGTATGAGAAACAATTACAGAAAAACATCTGGAAACAACATATAATGCTATGTGTGGTATTCGGTGCCGTTTCGGTCGAACGGTCACATCACATAACGTTACTCCTAATGTGACAATCATTTTAACCTTCTCTGATGCAGCAATTCTAAAGCACAGAATTAGATATAAAAACGATTTTCGTCATTTGTGTTTAACTTACTGTTTCCTCATCCAAACTAAATCTTCTCTTCTTAGATCCATCGTGAACAGTAAAGATTCTATCATCAACTTCAAGTCAAGGAAAGTACCGGAAGTAAATATTTTGCGCAAAATCAATGAGATTTCCCAGATTCGCATGTCTCCTAGACGCTTAACCCGATAGACAACATTCACTCAAACGTGTCAGTGACGTTCAGACCCCAAAGCGGAAGCGGCAATGTTTAAAAATGAATGAGTAAAGGAGATATGTACAAAAAATCCTACCTTGAAACACTGCTACAATGGATATAACTGAAACTTATGGTAAACAGTCAGCATGTTTTTTGACATATGTTTGATTTCCTTTACATTTATTCTCCATTAATGGAATCTGTGCCAGTTTTAAATGAGGAAGGCGAGATTTATGGTTTTGAAATTGGCCACTGGACTGTAACCTTTAGAAATAATATTTGTTGCAAGGCGAAATAGCATGCCACATTTCCGCTGCATGACCAGTTCCAACGTAATATATATTTATTTATAAGACAAATTATCGACTTATCTACAGAAAACTTAAGATACAGAAGACACATTCTTTATATGTGAACACTTCATCTAAATTTTAGTAACATTCATAATATGTTGATCATCAGGAAATTTGTCAAAGAGAAAAGGTACTCGCATCAATTAACTGTTAATCAATTGATATGACTCCTCCGAAGCTTCTTTTCTATCATCAAAAAATGCAATCTCATTATATTGTCTATCTAACCACCCCCACCCAACATCCAAATCCTTTTACACAAAATTCTGACACAAGTTTCAATTAAATAAAGTTTGTCAGTAATTGGTTGAAGTAGAAATTGTTATGCGAGTTACCTCAAAATCAATTAACACAAATTAAAGAACATTCAAGCACTTGTCAGACACAAGCTGGAAACCTTATGGGACCCCTGCACCAACAAACAGCAGACTGAGAAAATGAAATGCTGATCAGTACAATATGTCCAAAAGAGATACCATAATATTAGCTAAAACACTGACATGTTATACACTACAATGGCCAGCATTGCAAATCAGGTAGCTACACTTGCGCATCATATCACCTCCTCTTCTACAAAATAGTTTACAGACAGTTATGACTAGAATACAGTGATAATTTACCAAACTGACTATGCATGGGACATTAATATTTGGTCGGTTTCAGAAAAGTTTGATGTGCAGAAGTGAAGCAAATGGATTGGTCCATACTCTGATAAAATTGAACTGATCCTGTTCTGTACATCACATTAACTATTCATCATATTTCCAACTGCATACAAAGAAAAAAAAGTATTATAGAGTAATATTTCAATCATTTCAGACACAAAATTGATTCAATATTTAGAATTGAGAGGAATCCATATTGGGAAAGTTTTCATTACTATAGTAAATAAGAAGTCAATCTGTGCATCATCATTTTGTCCAATCTCAAGAGGTGATCGGTTTTGAGAGGGATTGGTTTGGGGAAGTTGCACTGTATACTTATTCCAGAAGACTCCAGAACAACACACACCCACCTCTTCACATACAAACCTGTAATGGGTACAAAGGACACCTTCAAATATTTTCCCCAAGTGCAGGGCACAACACTTGAGGGATTCATGGTAACCCTAACATAAAAACATAAGTGGAACACCCATCTTTTTTTTTTATCTTTTGTCACCCTCTGCACAAAATTCACAAAATGTTGATGCTCTCGTTTAATCTCCTGTATTCCTCTAAGCACGATCAACCCTTCTTACCCCTTACCCATGTAATTGTTATGTTGACGAAGTGGATTTATTCCATGGAGAAGAATTTTCAATAATACGATAGGAAGTATAACTTGCCGGTAGACATGATTAAACTTATTTCTTTGTATGTATGAATAAAACTACATGAAGAGTTTTGAAACACTTTTCAGGAACAAACCTACCTTACATTTTTTGCTTTTGTTGGCACATATTGAATTGTACAAGCTTGCATTGAGGTGTCTCAGTTAGAGGGAACATAAATCTCCAGGGAAAGGCAAAAGCAAGTGTTTTATCGCTGTGCTGCCTGACCACTAAATTATGTAGGGTTAGATTAGCTATCTGAGGGCAAAAAGCTGCCGTCTTATATTTTAGTATATTATTCATCTCGTTTGTCTTCATTTTTGCTTTTTGCAGCAGATAGTGACATACTAATGTATTACAAACTTTGGAATAGATTGGGAACTGACGAAAAAACATTGAAAGTAAAGGAACACATTTAAAGTAATCAATAAATGTAAAACTTCACCAGTGATTTACACAAAGGAGGCAAAATACAGGGAATATTCTGATGCTAATTTTAAATTATTTACGAGCAAGTCATTTCTATAACTAAGTGTATTAACAGTAAAAGTTTGTAATATTGTAAACTAGTTAATGTAGTTGATGACTTATGATTAATATAAATTGGTAAAAAACATTTGATTATAATTTTGGTAAATGGATTATGAATTTTGTAAATGTTTTTATTTCCTTGTGTAAGTGATCAGACCTTAGTCATGCATGGTATAAAAAAACCACATGAAAATAGTCTTTACTTACCTTAAACTTAAGTTTATTGACAACTTTCTGGTGTCAAATGTCATTATTTTACAATATAATTTTATTCATTTTTCTCATATCCAATTACATATGCCTTATGTTTCAGAAAAAATTGTATGCAAAATTACAGATGGAGCTGAAATTGATTATGCACTTCATGCCATTTATTGCATTTTTCCCAAACTGATTTGGGATAAGGCATTTTTGCCTCATTATGAGAAGAAATTAGTGAATTGGGAAGCAAATTTTCAGGAGTAAATCACAAATTTTTGGAATTTTGCTCAGATACAAAATAATTTCAATAAAAGGTAATGAGGCCCATTATTGGCTCTAAAAAGCCTCAAAAACAGCCCTGCCAATGTTTCATTCTTCAAAGTCAATCATTCTGCCTTTTCGAAATGCCAAAAAAAAATTCCACTTTTTTATTTTTCTTGCCCAAGTTTTCATAATTATTCAAACTGACTACACAAATGCTTGCATTTTATTATTAGTATTGTTGCAGAAATTGTATTTTTGCATTAAAGTTTTGTGTTTTTGATGTATGAATGTTGAGCCATTTTTTACACTCGGCATTTCTCTTTATGTTATTACTTTTAAGTATTAGTATCTACTTAAAGTAACAGAAGCCAGAGTCTTCCTTTTGAAATAAAAATGAAATTCAGTGATGCACTTTCATGTCTGTAAGGTCAACTTGCAGTTGACTAAAGTTTGATACCTTCATAGTTAAGAAGGACAAATATAATTCTGAAATCATATTGCAAGGGCATTTCTAAATTCATGGTCTGGGTCAATGGAGAATATCACAATGGTCAAATACATGGATATCTCATAGTTGAAACATGTGGCATATAAAGTTATGTTCTTGGGATTACGATGTGTGGCATGATTACAACATGTGGCATTATACAGTTATGTTCTTGGGATTACAACATGTGGCATTATACAGTTATGTTCTTGAGATTACAACATGTGGCATTATAAAGTTATGTTCTTGGGATTACGATGTGTGGCATGATTACAACATGTGGCATTATACAGTTATGTTCTTGGGATTACAACATGTGGCATTATAAAGTTATGTACTTGGGATTACGATGTGTGGCGTTATAACATATTCTTGGGATCACTGGTTGCTTGATCAAATTTCATTGTCAGATTTTCAGTAATTTTAATCATTAAATGGTTAGTATTGCTTGAATCTGTTGCATAACAGATAATATGGTATAGCTGTATCTTATTTTTAATTTTCAGATAGAATCGTTGACGGTTGGGAAAGGGCAGAAACTAACAGTGGTGTTCCGTATTATATTAGGTAAGAATAGAATTAATAGCAGACCAACTATTAATACTGTTTTTAAGTACTGGTCATTATTTTGTCATGAGCTACGTTTATATCACTTGATGTCTTTTGATTTAAGTTGACATACATGTATACCTATTTTAACATAAAATCATTTTGGTTTTTATATATTACAAAATTTTTCAGATAAGGATATAATTGATTGAAACTTATGATTTGGCAAAACCTTTATGTATTTTCTGAATGGATATAAATCAGTTGTTCTCCACCATTATTTCTGGGTAAAATTATGAAAAATCTTCTGCAATTCAGTTGGCATGGAAATGAAAATGCCTTAAAATTTTTTTACCCTTATAATTTTAGCCACACCCTACAGAGAACAACATGGGACCACCCATACTTACTGAAGATAATGGAAGAACTAGGTAAGTAGATTATACCATTGTAATCAAGGGATGTTTGATCAGTTGTAATAACTATTGGTAAGCTTTCTTTCAGTCTATATTAATGCACATTGTAATAATCCTTCAGTATATGTTGGTATGTACATACTTTGATACATATTCACGTGTCTAAGATTTGGTAATTTTATCAAGGTTATTGATGTATCTAGTCCTCTTTGTATATAGTTGGGTTCAGTTAAGTACTTTTGATGGCGGTTTTTAAACAGTAAAATTTCCTTGGTGCAATAGTCTTGATCAAATTAGATACCGTAAATGCGCTTGATTTGGTGCTCTCAAAGTTAAGTGAATTATCATCTTTTGGCAAATCAGTGCATTTGCACATCCAAGTTAATTGCTATATCAATAATATATAGAAACTGCATTGGCACAATCATGCTTTAATACTTTCACAGTGAAAAGCAATGAGATAAGGATACCATGTAAATATGTACATTTTTTCGCTTAACCAAAATTTTTTTGAATTGATGTTTAATATCATAGTCACAAGGCACTTATTTTGGCAATACCCCACCTCTTCCCCATGGACAGGTAATTTTATTTATAAATGTTATGGTTGTGCTTTACTAGTGGAACTTGCCTTCAGTTAGAGCAATGATAAATACTTTTTTTTGCAAGTAATCAACACTCTTTATAATTATCTCTTTGGTATCAGGGGAGTACAGTGCAATCAAATACGCAGCTTACCGAACAGCATTCAAGATTAGACATCTTCAGAAGAGACTTCGATGTAAGTATATGTTTCATACATATTGTGTACTGGTATATTGGTGTTCTGAAAAAAAGATTAATGGTAACAATTTTGCCTTAATCAGATTTCTTCTTAGTGATAAAATTAAATAGAATTAGAATGGTGAAGTGCAGAGATCAAAAGAAAACTAGAAAACAAAACAATGCATCTCTCTGAATGTAGAGGAGATCATCGTTATTGAATTAAGATGATTAGGCCCAAGTAGAAAAATGTTAATCATACTGACATGTTTTCAGTGCACCAGATCAGTATATCGACTGTGAAAGATGTGTTTGAGCAGTATGGCTATGCAGAGGGATGCTTGAACGTCATTGGCTGCCAGGAGATTCATGACCTTTTGACTGAGCTGTACAGTCGTGCCGACCATGGAATTGTGATAGAAATGGAGGATGCTGAAATTCACGCAGAGCTGCTACAGAACTTGATGCTGAATTTATATGATGTGTAAGAATATCTAATCCAATCATGTTATTACATGTATATCAAATGGTTACAAACCAGTAAACAACAGTTCGTCAAACAGAAAAAATGTATTCTGATTTTACTTCCAATGTTTGCCCAGAACATTTCAGTGTGATTTGTGTTTAATGTTTTATCCTGAATGAGAATTTCACAAACACCTTGTCTTCAGTTATCTGACGTGGGTCAATTTAATTGATAGATGTAGCTAATCTCTACTTTAAAACTAAATGAAGGCCAATTTCTTTTACATGATTTTTTCATGACCAAAAAGCAACATTCAAAAAAGGAGATTATTCACAGTTTTAGTGACTTTGGCGTTTAACGTATTTCTTTATTATACTTGTTTGATATATTCTGTAGTTGACTGCCTGTATATTTCATGTTTTTTATATCTGGCTTTGTAATGGTCTGGGACATACAGAAAGTAACCTGTCATTCATTAATAAAACTTTACCTTTAGATTATTTTCTCACTTAACACATATTTTAGCATTCTGATCTATTGTTATGGCGATACTGTTATTGTCCATAGCATTTTAAAGGGAGAAAAAGAGAGGGACATATAATGTTACCCATGTCCTGACATCTCGTTTCAAATCAATGTCAGGTATGAAGAAACTCTCAACAGATTTGTTTCATATTTACCCTATAGTGTCATAACATCGAGTTCACACCTGATCTGATTCTGAATTTTATGGGAGCTAGGGAATTCATGTCTTGTTTACATTTGCTTGTTTTCCTTTGGTAATATTGCAAAATTGCAAAAGAAGAGGAGATTCTGACAATTTTTGAAATAAACCTTTGTGAACAAAATTTTAGATAAATGCTGAAGTTTCAGACTTTGTATTGAGTTCCAGTTCCAAGCAGGAGTGGGGGCATACATCTCACAAATATGTTCTGTTTAAAGAATGCTCATTGGCTGGTTTATCATCAAGTTGTTAATATGAGCAAACTTAGAAATGCAGAAAAATGGTTTCACTGTCTCTATCTGCCTGTTTTTACCATCATAAAAGACTGGAACAGTTAAAGTATAGTATTAGGCTGGTAACTTATATCAGTCAGTGTATTTGTAAACTGATAGCAATTATTTTAATTTGTACATGTTTACAGAAACAGGATAGGACGTGTGAAGGTCACCTCCCTGAAGCTACTGCTTATCACTCTGTGTGCTGCCAAGTTAGCAGAGAAATACAAAGGTAGGTAACTGTTGTCTTTGTGTTGTAAATGTTTACTCCTAGTGGTATACAAGCAACACCTTAGTTGTGTATGTTCAGTCACATCCCCAGAACACTGATGATCGTTGGTGAGATGATACCCGGACACAGGTGGAGTCACAGAGACGGAAAACCTGTCAACCAGCCAACCATATATGTGTCCAGTGACAGGTTTTGTAAATGTTGACTCTGTGACCTATATAAATAATCCTTACTGGTTTTAACATATGATTTCTTGTAATTCAGTAAATATACCCATGTCATATTTTTGCATATTACACATGTGTAATATAGCTTTTTGTGACGTGACTTTAGACAATTAAATGTCACTTATTCATTATATTGCATAATGACATAAAAATGAAGAGATATAGAGTGGACATAACTTCAAGTTTGATGTAGAGATGTCTGTTTCTAACATATTTACTTAAAAAATTGATCATGTGATAAAAGGTACTTAATCAGTTTCCATTTGAAAACTTATAATTTTTTTCATTTTTGCTCACCAAAGTCTTTCTTCAATAAAAAAATACTTCCACTCATTTCATATATTCCTTTAACAAATGTTAATACATGTAAGATTCTGTATATATTTTATAACAGGTATGCAGCCATTGTCTATATGTTGTAATCATTTACTCTCTGTACAACTCCATCCTTTTTTGTACAGTATACTGTGTATATATTTCATAACTACAAACTTTCCACATTTTGTTTTGACATCCAGCATACTACCATGAGCTCCATGATCCTAGTACCTACATCAGCAGTAAAAGCTTCACCTGTTTTTTGGAGGATATGATTCAGGTTAGTTAAATAATCTTGATGATCAGTGTTCAATGTTACTTGTACGTGAACATTTTAATGATTGTTAAATGTATGTCGGTCACACAGAAAAAATACTTATGAAGGATATACATAGTTTGTCATTGAGACTAGAATAGGGACAGTGTTATGTAATAACTGTTAAAAATAAATTTGAACTTTGATATTATGAACTCTATCTATAAATCTTACAGTAATGGTTTTAACACACCTGTGAAGGTTTGGTTCACTGCACTGTTAATATCTTCAAAAGGCACTGTGATAGATAGGTCTTACATGGTTCTGTTCTATGGATATCTCAGCCCTAACTGTGAGTTGGTGCAAAGCCTCGTGCTGACCAGTCAAACACTGACATGACTGACGAGGGTTGAGATATTCTTCCAAGGAACAGACCCATGTTTGAAAGTTTTTTACTCAGATACTTGGAAAAACAAAAACAAATTGTAAGTTGTGAATCAATTCATTAGGCCATCATCAATGTCCCATGAAATGTGAGTTGGATTTTTGTGGAGAAATTACAGTGTGATGAGCATGAATATTTCTTAACCTTGTTGTTTTGGTAAAGGTTTTAATTAACCTTGATATAAGAATGTGGACTCTTTTTTCCATCCTTAGTTACCAGACCTGCTCCAGGAGAGTGGACTCTTTGGTCAAGATGTGGCACCTGCAGTGGCAAGTTGTATCCAGATGGTGAGGACAAGCTCGTCAGTTTACCCTTACCCTTTAGTGGGCAATGACTTTTATGGTGTACAAAAAGGAACTAAATACACATAGGTCAAATGTTGAATTATTGTTAATATCCGTGAGATTAATGAAGGTCAGGGATCTCACACCCCATTTTGGGACTGGGGCCCGGGGCCCTTAGAATTGGGAAAAATAGCAGTGTTTTCCTTAGAATTGGGAAAACCTGGGGTCTAAATTGGGAAAAGAGATACTATTTTGCATTGGGAATGGGGACGAATATCGGCCCCAAATCTGGCAGATTGAGAGCCCTGAAGGTTCTCTCACTTAATAATTAAAGCATATACAGAATCTATTACATTTTATACTTTTATTTGTCACCATGTTTTTTCTGAACAGAGTAATGGTGGAGAGGGGATATCTGATGATATGTTCTAATATTAGTTTGTTTCTGTACAGAGTAATGGTGGAGTGGGGATATCTGATGATGTGTTCTAATATTAGTTTGTTTCTGTACAGAGTAATGGTGGAGTGGGGATATCTGATGATATGTTCTACAGCTGGTTGCTTCGTGAGCCACAGACGCTTGTTTGGCTTCCAACATTTCACAGAACAGCAGCATCTGAATCAGGTAATAGCTGCAGTATATTAGTTCATTGCTTTTTAGATGGAGCAGCTGAAATTTCTCATGATATCTTGTCTAAAGTCACAATAGTTTCACTGTACTATACAATTACAACTACATAACTCAGTCTCCTTTATGTTGTATTTGTAAAAAGAAATCAGAAAAGAAGAGGAAATTACAAGGAAAGTGTGGACTTCAAAATTCCTTCACCAAATTCTCATATAAAGCCAAATATGTAGTATTGAATGACTGGACTTCAATCAATTCTGCAATCACTTTTCATATAGCATATTATCTATTTGATTAATATTGTTTGTCCTTGGCAATTCAGCTTCAAATACTTTGACACCCATAATTTTTATTTCAACAGTGAAACATGAATCAAAGTGCAACATCTGTAAAAGCTGCCCAATTGTGGGGTTCAGGTAAGTGGATCAAGTTTATATTTTTTCATTAGCCCAATGTTTTGATTCAGGTAAATGGTACTTGACCAATTGGGATTATGTTAAGATTTACAGGTGTCCAGTATTGGAGTAAAATTGTATAAACATTTAGTTGATTACATAGAAACACTGATTGATATTAACCTCTAGTAAAACAAATTACTGAAGGTGAATTTTTTCGGTATCAATCATCAGCTTAATTAATTGTTTATCACCAGTTATGAAATTATCTCCATTGTTTGTTTGTATTGTTGGGAAAAGCAGGGTGATCCTACTGTTTTCTGTCAGCCCTGGGGACCAAGCATTTATCTTACAATACACGATGCTTTGAAATATGCCTCTTATTCTTTTCCTTTTTTTTTTTAAAGAAATTCTTATCTTGTATTCTTGTACACAGGTACAAATGTTTGCTGTGCTTCAACTTTGACATGTGTCAGAATTGCTTCTTCACGGGAAGGACAAAGAAAAACCACAAGTTGAAACATCCTATACAAGAGTACTGCATAAAGGTAAACCAGCTCCAATGTCTTATCTTTCATTGCTCCTCACAGCCATTGTAAATATCACAAGTTCAGTTTGTTCACATTTCTAAACAACATGGGTATCAATGTCATAATGTCTGATGCTGTGTAGAGTTATGTTTCTTTCTGTACTGATCAATAGGCTTATTTTTTTCATAATTTTTTCAGAGTTTAGACGGTAAGTGTATAGGAAGCCTTTTTGGCAACATACTGTATCAAAAGCTTTATTTGGGTGAGATTTGAGGTCGCTACTTTACCAAAACTTGAAAGCCATCGGTAAAGAGGCCATCATTGTGTGTTATAGTGAAGTTAACTGTAGGGTTGACACATCAGATGTACTTAGGTGTCATAACCATGGTTTATATCCGAAATTAAATGAGGGTTTTAAGTGATAACAATGAAGTTTGTTTAGTAAATGATTGTCAGCACTCAAACAGCTCCATTCCTTGAGGGATTCTCATCATACTTCACTTCACACATATATTAAGCATCAAACTATCTGGGACAAGTTTCAGGATTGTTGGATCAATGTCAAGGTGATATTGCCATTTTTGGAAAATTTACAAATTATTATAGTGTAATAGCCTGCAGTGGCCAGTAGGGGTTATGTATCACCTCAGCAATACTCAGGGTGCTTGTTTGATTAAATAAACAGTGTTTAATATTTGCAATTAGGTCACTGTTGAGCTTCATTTCTCAAACATATTTGCTTTATCCTGATGATAAGGAGAAGTGACAGGTATGTGAGACATATTATTCCATGTGGTTATTGATAAGGTATTTACCTTGTATCTCAGTTTCTCTAAGGATAAAGTCTCTGATCAGGTTTTATGTAGAAATGGTGTCTGTTATTGATATACAGTTGTATTTATTTCTCTGTGAATTTTCTTTGGTAGACCTCCTCCAAGGAAGACACCAAAGCCTTTTTTAAGACCATGAGAAACAAAGTGAGCAAGAAGCATCGACAGAAAGCCAAGCAGAAGTATCTTCCACTGATGTCTGAAAACCAGTACTGTCAGAATAACTGGTAAGTATAACTCATGTCTGAAAACCAGTACTGTCAGAATAACTGGTAAGTATAACTCATGTCTGAAAACCAGTACTGTCAGAATAACTGGTAAGTAGAAACCTCCTCAGTTAAATGATAGACACCAGTACTGTCAGAATAACTGGTAAGTAGAAACCTCCTTATTACACAAACTGAACGACGATTCAGGCCTGGACAGTACCTGTTTCATCAATTAAATGATAGAAACAAGTATTGTCAGAATGATTGGTAAGTAGAAAAATAAAAAACACAAAATGAGCAGTAATTTAGGGCTTGAGGGTGCCTGTCTCCTCAGTTAAATGATAGACACCAGTACTGTCAGAATGGTTTGTTAAGCAGTTAGCTGCAGGTTAACCTGTTTTGCTTTGTCACAGAGCTAGTGAATTCTGATAGATTCAGGAAGATTTCATGGTCTGAAATAAAAGACAGATAACATTACAACGTGAATAACCTTTTAGAAAAAAAAAAAAAGATCCTGAATGTATAATTTGCAATATATTCAATTAAAAAAATAATCATGTGTTCTTCAGTTCTGTTGATAACAAACATGACTTTAATGTTTGTGAAATATAATCAATTCACTATTTTCAATTGCATTTTAGGAGTGTCCGAGCAGAGCCACCAATCCCTGATGTGCACAGGAACCTGATAGAAAATGCGCAGAGACTATCGGACCTGGAAATACACAACTCAGACCAGTCCAGGTCCCCAGTAAAGGGAGTTTCCAACACCAGCAATTCATCTGACAACAAGGTAGGGCACCATGTAGGGGCATAATTGTCAAACACTGTCAGGGGAGTCCCTATTTTCAGTAAAACATCTTACAACAAGGGAGGGTGCCATATTGGGGCATAATTGTCAAACATTGTCAGGGAGTCCCTATCTTCAGTAAAACATCTTACAACAAGGGAGGATGCCATATAGGGGCATGATTGTCAAACACTTCAGTAAAACATCTGATAACATTGTAGGGCACCTTGTACTTAATTAATTGAAGTGTCTGCTTGCAGGAAAATGTAATTGAGGTGGATGATTTGAAGAGACAAAGGGACGAGTTAGAAAGGGTAATCAAAGAGCTGGAAGAGGAGAACAGGTATGAAAAATATGTCTTAGCTGATCAGGGTTCTGAGCTATTGGACTTAAATTTGGTGGTAGATGACAAAATGATATGCATTTATGACCTACAAACTTGGTAATTTACATGTCTGGCTGGTCCATCTAATTAAAACAATAGTTAATTTGCATTTCCGGTCCATCTAATTAAACCAATAGTTAATTTACATGTCTGGCTGGTCAATCTAATTAAAACAATAGTTAATTTACATGTCTGGCTGGTCAATCTAATTAAAACAATAGTTAATTTACATTTCCAGTCCATCTAATTAAAATCATATATTACATGGCATTTAGTGACATGGAACAATTAGAAGTGTTAACTGTATATGTATATTACAACATAAAAAATAGACAGTCAGGAGAGCAAGTTTCAATATCCTAATAAGACCACAGACATGGCTGTACCACAGTGGTTTTGATGCTTTGTTACATGGTGCTTATCAAATTTCAATTGTTTGTGACATTCGTTTTGATAGCACTCGACTACCAATCATTTAATACCAAATGAAAGAATACAACTTTTACTTATCAGTAGAAAATCCAAATATCTGTCATTTATAATATTACACACAACAAGTACTAGTTATTTGTAAAAATTAAATCAACAAGTACGAGTCAGGTGTAAAAAAAAACTCAACAAATACCAGTCATCTCTACAAAACAATTATAAGTCATGTATAGAAAACCTTACAAATTTTTACTTTAATTGTTCACCTGTTGTAGACAACTTCATCGTGAACTTAAAGACGTTCGTGAGTCCTCTGACACAGAGAGTAATATGTCTGGGGGAGAGAACCCAGCAAAGAAGACAAAGTTCAAAGTGAAATCTGCACTGGACAAGAACCGCAGACACAGTAGTGGCCTTACTATTGTGAAGGTAGGTCTGGAAACAGTTACACCCAAACACTATGTCTAAATATTAAAAGATTGTTGTGTTGAAAATGTGTTCCGTGGTTTTGATCAACCTCAAATTTTTCTTTTTTTAATTTTAATGGCTGACAAGACTCCATCTTTTATTTAGCAGTTTTAAGATTAGTAACTTGTTAAGAGGAACTTTCAATTTGATTTAGTAAAGAACAAAAATTAAAGATGAAAAACAAATAAGATCTATCTTGGAAAACCAAATGAAGATCAAACGGTAATGGTGCTAAGATCCCTCTGGAATTTATCGCTGACGTAAACTGAAATTCTCTAATAATGAAACCAGTATCTCAACAGTTGATACTGTTATGATGAATTTTAAGTTGTACTTGTGGTCAATATCTTGTTTGTGCAGCAGTGTCTTTGTGTTTGTAGGAAAAGCCCTTGTCATCACTTGAGAATACTTACGGACTACAGACAAGCAATGTACCAAGTCCCAGCTACAATGATAGCAGAATTTCTCGTCCACTTGTAGACAGCCGCAATGCAACAAGGGAGGAAGCGAGTGTTCTGTATTCCTCTCATCGCTATAACTCGCCCCCTGAGAGTGACACCTATAACCCATCCCCTCACAGCTATCAGCCTTCCCCTCAAAGCTATAACACTTCATCTCACAGTAACAGTCTGTCATCTAGACATGACAGTACCTCACCATCCCTTAGTCCCCAGACAACCAGCGTTGCCTCTCCTTTCACCTATGAATATTCATCACGTTTCCGCCAAGACCTGTCTCCAGGTGAGAGCCACTTCACTCCGCGAGCATCTGAAGGAGCACCCAGCTACATCGACAGACGTGAGCGAACAGGCTTTGACAGTCTTGACAACCTGGATGTTAGTCCCTCTCACTTCACTCTCCCCTCCTTCGCCAACAGCAGAGCTTACATGGAGGAGGATGATGTGGACCAGATGCAGATGGTGGATAAAATATTTCCCAGTAATCTCTCATACTCGGGTATGCAGATTTTCACTATTTCTCAAGTATTTACCATACTAATAGATCTTGATAACCAATTTTACATGCAATCATTTGTGACCAATGGTATAATTTTATATTCAGTTTGTTAAAAAATGTAAAGTTGAAGTAACTTTATTGGAATCCGTGACCCAGTCAGATGTGTTCATCTTTGGTGGCAGGTTTAACTGTTCATTTCAACAAAAAATTTGACGTGTGATCTTGAGTGACAAACATACCTGGATATATTTACTTTTTGTATCGCAGCATGACTACAACATATTGAAATTGTTCTTATCTGCAGCAATTTATGGTAAATTTGAAGCCTCTATATTTGATGTGTCTGGTTTTAGATGTAGAGCAATGTAGAGCCAAACCTCAATATCAGATTGTTCTGTATACAACAGTTTATATGTCTAATGTTTTATTTACTCTTTACTGTGTTTTTCAGCTTACTCCATGTCTAATGCAGGAACGATGAATGACCATGAGGAAATGCTCCAAGCTGCTTCCACTATGGGGACAGTGACCTCTGACCTGTTCAGTGAAGCCATCATCCCATTCTATCAGTACTAGTTCATTGACACAATCTTTTAAAACCTGTCAAAACCTGTCAAAGCCTTGTCCAAACCACTTCATGTCACAGACTTCAAAAACTTGAAAGCTTAATCACATAATGGAGTGCCTTACCTAAACTTTGTATGTAAAACTGCATACAAGGAATCGAAATACAATTTGTTTATGGAGTCAATATAGAATCTTATGATGTGTACCTTAATAATAGGTATTATTGTATACTTGTTTATATATACCATTACTCAGAAAACTATGTTATGTCTCATGTACTTGTGTGCCATATTAAACACAAACTTCTTTACCTTTAAAACAATACAAGGAGTCACACACACTGAGCATTGAAAACAATATACAACGAGTTGGTTACAGTTTGTTAATGGAGTTGAAATGGTTTCTAATCATGTCTGCCTAACTGTTTTATAAAGAAAAAAATCAGCCGCAATGAATGATTAAAACCATACATTGGTAAAGTGTATTTTTTATTATCTATCTACAACATTCATCTGATAACACTTAATCTTCAGAATTAATATGTACTTGATGATTTCGAGAAAATTAATCTTTGCCATGGTGTTGTTTTTTGCTGTCAAATATATATAAATGTATACATGTTCACTTAAATTTTTTTATTTTAACTTTTTGATATTTTAAGTCCCTTTAAATGAGCATATTACTCACACAGTGTATTGCTGTGTGAAGCTAGTCAAATTAGAGGTCCCAGGAGTCATTATAGTATACGGTTGTTGAGTGGTGCTAACAGTGGCGACCTGTTATACAGATACTGTGTTCATACTTATACAGTTTTTACATGATACATATGTACTTGGTGTTTATCACTGAATTCCAATCAACCTTGAAAATATGCAGTTTTACCACTTTTTCATAGATCTTCATTCATGTATGATTATTACAATTTCACCAAAGAGCTGATGTTAACAACAGATTTAAAAAAAAGATCTTGTTTCTTTAACTTGTAATGATACAATTTGATGATGATGCTGCTCTGTTGTCTAATTCTATGGTAGTTAGGATTTTCTAAAGACGCTATTTTGATGTAACTGAGAAGATAAATTTCTTTTCTTATCTTATATTGCCTGCCCTCATTAATTCAAATGTTAATATTTTTATTGCTGAACTTTTCAAAATGCTTGGTAGTGCAGATCAATGCCGTAGTGTTTGGGTGTTTTTTGTATATTTCATATGGTGTGGATAACTTTACTTAAAATAGCATCCAAATGCCGAATCTTTGCATATTATCTCATCACTGTATGTCATTGTCAGGTTCATATTCCCAATTAAAATGCAGATACATATACATGTATACACACTCTATGCAAAAGCCAAAATTGTGTTCACACATGTCCGTTCCTTATTGATCCAACAACTACATAAAGGCATTTTTTGATTACATGTATATATATCATATATTTGATATGTAATATTATAAAATGTATATTTAAAATGTATAGAAATGTATTTATGGATGTATGTCATGAAATAGGTTTATGTCATGTTCTGGAATACGGTAATGTCATGAAATAGGTTTATGTCATGTTCTGGATTAATGTCATGAAATAGGTTTATGTCATGTTCTGGATTAAAGGCTATTCCCAAATAACAAGTTCAATCTTTTCACAAAATTGAATTTTATAACACCATGAATTGAAATGAAAGAAATAACTTGGACTCTGGGTTCAATGTCCTGTTTTTTGTATAGTTTCCATATGCATGGTCAGTACTGTAAATGGGGTCAAACTAAAGCTTTATGCAGTAGATAGAAAGTGTATGTCATGGTATAAGTAATCCTGTCTGTCCGTCCATAAAAAAGTTTGTGGACAAGTTCTCTTGAACATTTTTGTACATGATTGTTTAGTTGTACATGAGAATGACATTTTTAAGTTGGAAGTGATACATGTGTATTGGATAATTTAGATAAATGAGATGCTGAAATTGTTAACTAGCTTAAACATTTTACAGTTCAGCTTTAACTTGTTGGTGTTGTGTACTTTGTGGAAAAATAAATGTTCTGTATTGTTATTTGCAAGTTAATTAATTTTGTCCGGATGAATTTTAGATACAAGAAAGCTGATGTTGAGTTCATACAAATTGAAAATCTTTATGAGGACAGGAAATGCTGTCACAGGACTAAATCACATGTTTTATACCTTTTGGTACATTACTGTACATTGCTGTCCTTATAATCTACTGAAAGATTTATTACTTTTGTAATATACTTGTAAATTACTGTCTTGAGTTATTGACAAATTTGTTTTTCTTTTTTTTTTTTTTTTTGTGAAATGACCACAAAAATTGTTGTATTTGCCAGAAGCTTTTGATGATCAAGTTGGATCCTGGAACGAGATATTTGCAGACTTCACTTTCTCATTAAAGATCCAACAATAGTGTTTACTTCAAAGATAGTAGATCTATTTACTAGTTTCCTGTTCTCACAGTCTCTTGTGTTGTAAATTTTATCTGTGACAAAGGTTTTGGTTATATTTTTTCCGTGTGATTTTGAACCTGTGTAGTTACCTGTTTACATAGTTTATAAAAATGTTGTGGTTTATTCGTGCATACATATTATACAGAAATGATATGGTAATCTTTTGTCTACAAATGCCACTTTTTTTTTCCATTAAAAATTTTTGTGCAATAACTACACTTTGCCTTCATATTATTATTTAATTATTACCAATACTAAGTCTTTTGTTGGTTGCAAGAAACGTTTGCTTTAAAATCCTCCTCCCATATGCCTGAAAAGACTTCAACCAAATCTTGCGTGAAACTCATTTGGGAATGGCAATTATTATTTTTACTTCTGAAGGTATTGAGAACCCTACGGAAAATTTGGAGGAAATTTGGCTTAAAATAAATTCTTCTTTTATATGCCTAGATACATTTTCACAATTTCTTCTGGAATAACAGTAGAAGGCAATTATTGTTTGTAATGAAGATGCTGCAAACCCTAGTTACAAAGGGGTGGGGCCCATATGCCTAAACAATGTTTCAACAAAATTTGTGTGAAGCATTAGTGGAGAGAGCAAATTGGTTAAAATATTGGTTAAAATAAATGTTGATTTGGGAGTGTTCCTGGAAATTCTGTTGTAAATTCTAGTTATCCTGCTGAATGATTGCATGGATTCTAAACATCATTACCGAGAACATAAATGTTTTGTATAAATGGAATCATAATAGAAAACTCTTCTTAAATGGTTGCTGAAATATGACCACTATGTTACTGCTATACTGACCCACTACTGATCACAATGGCCGTCTTGGAAAACAGGATTTTGTAGATTTCCTCCAGTAACTCCAAAGGTTTTCCTCCCACAGAAAGATCCCTCATGTGCTTCCATCCAAGAGCGTTTGATATAAGTTGAAGTTACCTGATTCGCAATTGTTGTGAAATTTATGAAATTCTTAAAAAGTGGTGTGAATGCAAAAAAGCGGACCATTCTCCCTGCTGCAAGTCTTTTGTAGTCAGACGACTGTTGAGGCATGTCTTTCTCTGTATACCTGTATACCTACTCTGCTCCAGGCTGAACATCCCACACTGTTCTAGTCTGGGTTGAACTCCCCTCCTATCCCACACTGTTCTAATCTGGGTTGAACTCCCTTCTTATCAAACTCTAGTTCCCAGTGGGAGATTAAATAAATTTAAACAATATGCCTGTGGGAATCTCCCTGAAAGTTTATAAAGTAGCCACTTAACCTTTGTGTAACTTGTTTGTGGAAAGTAAACAATAACATCATAATCATAATAATCATAAATTTATTCATAAATGAGTGTTAGATGGTAAAACACATACTACATAATAATAGAACAATGTTGATTAATGACTTGTACAGTTACTACATTTTACAGCTACACAGATTATGATTCTGACCTCCAGCAGTTACCACAATCTGTACACTACTCACAGCTATGTTTGGCAATACAAAGATATGGTGATTCAATCCCCATTACAAAATATCTACATTAAATTTCTGATACAGAGGATATATGCGACTATAAAACTTGTGTATCTAACACTTACACATATCTGAAGCTTACACATACATATTTGACTTGATCAGACATTTACCGGTAATACACACATACTGAAGTTTAACTCTTGCATCTACATTTAACACATACTACACTTAATTGATATTTATCTGATACATGATGTTTGTTATCTGTACATAACATTGACTTCCTCTACATAACACTTTTTGCATATCTATATGATTTTCTGTTTATCTGTTACTTTTGTTTATCTTACTTTTATGCGAGTATCGGATACCTCTATATGAGTATCTAATGATACTTCTATCTGATTATCTGTTACTTTTATGCGAGTATCGGATACCTCTATATGAGTATCTAATGATACTTCTATCTGATTATCTGTTACTTTTATGCGAGTATCGGATACCTCTATATGAGTATCTAATGATACTTCTACCTGATTATCTGTTACTTTTATGCGAGTATCGGATACCTCTATATGAGTATCTAATGATACTTCTATATGGGTATCTGATACTTCAGTTTACAAGAATTTGTTAATGATTTATCTGACACTACCAATAGACTGACACTAGTTGTGTAAAAGTGATACTGATCAGATACTTCAAAACTACATTATTATTATGTTCAACTATATGTTACACTGTATCAATAGATGAAGAATACTCACCAGCCATTAATATTCCACACATCTGTTACTGAACACCTTGTTTTATCTGTATACAATAATACTAACTTATTACTTTTAATATTAGGTATCATAACTGTACAAATTAAACAGTTTTTTCTGTTATGTTTGTAGGTCACACAAAAACAAGCATCAGTTTATGTATCATTTTACTCAGTATCTTATGTCTTTTTACCAAACATAAAATTTTATAATTTTAGTTAGCTGATTTTTTTTAAATAAAAATTTTATTAACTACTGGTAAGTTAAAGATTAGTAAATAAATCCACTGTTATTTCACACTTTTGTTGATAGGTATAAAATTATATGTTTTAAAGGTATTTGTTCTGAATAGCGTTTTATCAATTTGAGAAAAATGTGATGATTTCACAATCTGTAGCATATATAACAATGGTGCAGTTTTAGCACGAGTACTGGTTGTAACCCTTCACATATACATCAGACCAACAGTTAAATAACTCAACCTTTAAAGTGTAAGTAGACCTAAAAACACTGAATATCCTGGTGTCATAATTCAACAGTATACATGTACATTTACCAAACGTTACTGACACAAACTTGTCAAACAATTTCTAACTTCTAAATACTTCTACTTGATATTCAACAATTTGCCATAATCATTTAGTTTCATTGTTAAGAATGTTGAAACGGATTTTGAATATTTACTGTGGAGACATAAATTGTTCAAATTTTTCATCATTATAAAAACAAGTGTATCAGACAAACTCGATACTGATAATTTCACAAATTAATTAATTTACTATTTGCATTTATGAAATATATACATGTTTTAGATTTATCATGGGCATTTCTGAAAAAAGCATGATCACTGAAATAGGATGAATGTTGATTTCTGTTTTAGAAACATTTAATTTAAATGCGGCTTGTTATTAACTTAAGGTCATGAATTTAAGCAGTTGTAAAAGTGATTTGCCAGTAGTATAGTTTGTCATTTTTTTTTAATCTTTCAATTAGTTAAAAATAAAAATGTAATGCAAGAGTTACACAGCACAGAAATGCATGCAATGGACATTCACAAATATGCTTAAATTTTAGACAGGAAAGCCATACACTATTTCCCTGTTAGAAGAGAATTGTGTATGGGTATTCTTGATGGTGGAAAAAAAACGAGATGTCTCATGAGATTTGATCCACTAACTTTAGCTATACAAATGTATATATACATATATCACAGCACTAGCATCTACTCACTTACACAGTAGAGTCCATACTCCTTCAATCTGGAGCATTGGATACACACTAAATCTAACTAATTTAGACAAGTAATTGAGGTCCAATTTACATTGATAAAACTTTCTACAACAGTATCATCTAACATCTGTAACCTGATGACATGTAGCACTAGACAGTTCTGGTCACCGAAAAGGCACATTTTCAGATCATCTCTCCCTGACATGCAACAAGGGAGGAAGGCACAGCAAGGCCAAAATTCCACGAACTGAATAAAATTACACATAAGGTATCCTTCATTGGGTTCAATGTAAGAAACAGAATATATGATAAAACTGGACTATCCAGGTAAAACTGACCAACGTATGACTAGAAGTTATCAGATCCCTATATATACAACCCGTTTCTGACCTGTACCAAAGTTCCAAGACTCTGATTGGCTAATCGTTATATCTATCTGGTACAATTAAGACTACAAACTAAGTCAATAAAACAGGTTTCATCAAAACTAGCAGCAATCTACCATGATTTCATATTATGCCAACTTTTCCCAAAAATCTTATGCAAGACAGTAACATGTTGTTAGAAGAAAAGAACAATGAAATAGAAATCCACACTAAATAGTTTGAGCATTTGTGTATTGAGCATATATTTGAGATATTGTAGTAACGGATTATGATTTATGGATTATATAGATAACATGTTGATTCAGTAAGATTAATTAGACTTGAAATCCGCATAATTAAAAGATCTGATTTAAAAATATGAAAATCTTTAATGTCAGCTGACAGGATTTAAAAAATATGTGATGGACGTTAGTAAAAATCTAAATTGAGCAATTTATTATCATTTTTTTTCAATTAGATGTGTCTTTATTATGATAATAAATTCCTATCACTTTAACAATTGCTGGATAATCAATTTTATAAGATTCTTTAAATTTTGATCTATGTGCAATACTAACCAAGTGTACAATTTAGAATATGGATTAAGTATATGTACAAGTATTTACTTTTTTCTTCTAATTGGGTTTAATAAGCCATGAATTCAAGCTACCTTGGTAAGGCATTCTGATGCGGATATTCCTTAAAGATCAAAACAACAGTGCAGAGCTAGACATGAGATAAAGCAGTACAGTAACCAATCAGTGGTAAGTTCGCAGCTGACTACGATGTTAAGGACAAATCACTGGTCATGTTTGCACAATGCATGATAAAAGAGAAAGTTAAATTAGAAAATCATTCACACACCATACAAACTTTTAAAAGAAACAACTTAAAAAATATGATAAATCAATATAATAACTTACAAAATATATATCAGATCATATTCTATGAATACTGTGTACAAAACGTTACACATCTAGGACTATTTGTAAAATATATGATAAATAGGCTGTATTTACAAGGTTTTATAATAACATACAGCAATTCACAGCGAGTCAATATATAACACATAGCAAGTAAATATATAGCATACAGCGAGTCAATATATGATATACAGCGAGTCAATATAGAAAATACAGCGAGTCATACACAACAAACCTACAGTCATTACATAACAATATTGCACGCATTGCATTGCAACAAATTTTATAAAATAAGAAGACAAAATTACCATATTAATTCTCAGTAATTGAAGTCAAATTATGGCAACTTTTTTTTATCTGTATCCTACAATGTAATAAAATGCACATACAAAATTGAATAGTGCTTGGACCAACTTGTACGGCATATGTAACCAATATACATAGGGACTACACGTGTGTGGGTTCTGTCTTAGCTTCAGTAAAAGTACTGCTCAGTTTGTCTTCAGAATTCAAATGAAAAGTTACTACCTTTCATGGTCAATAAATGCACACAAGTTATTTGTTTACAGCAAGAATAATTTTTACAACATAATTATCAAAATGTTGATGCGAATTGTGAGTGTTTCAAGTTGTCATGAAACTTGCAAGTTTGGATCTATGTGCACAAACCCAATTGTTGTCCCTGAATTCCTACATTAGGAGTATATCTATCAGGTAAGTATAATTCTAAAGTATATAACACCTTCTATTGTTTGACCTCGGCAGGGTTTACAAGAACTTACAAATAAAAGTTTGTAGTCTGATGGGCTATTCCATGATCTACAAGTGTGTAAGTCTGACTCTACACACGGTCAGAAACTTATTGTAAATGCCACAATATATATAAAAAAACTACATTACTGACACAATTTTCATTTTCACTTACTCTCATCTTTCATTCACATACAAGTCTCACATGTTCTCATTACACACAAGCTATGTTGTTACTCCAAAAGTACAGTCATAAAGATATGCTACAACAGTATGAGGTTTAACATCTATCCCTACACAGGACAACTTTTTCCTCTTCTGAATCATTCCAAGAAATATAACTAAATATTTCCCTTACACAAGGATTCCAAGAGAGGGAGTCTGAACAATCAATTAACTTTGTTCTCAATTATCCCATAACAGTCTAGTACAACATACAAAAAGTATGTAGTTTAGCACCATGTGTACATATATACATGAGCAGTAGAGTCTGCAGTCAGTTTCAATTTCTTAAATTACAAATTCTACACTGTCATGCTAACAAAGTTCTTTTATCTGCAGTCAATTTGTTCCCTCTTGCAACACCTTACAAATCTCACACTTTCATACTAATTAAGTACTAACCTTTGTAGTCAACTAGTGTAGAACACTCTCTTACTACAAAATCTCACACTGGTAACTAAGTACTGACATCTGCAGTGAACTTGTCCTCTCTTACCACACATCACAAATACCACACTATCATGCTAAGTACTGACGTCTGTAGTGAACTTGTCCTCTCTTACCACACATCACAAATATCACACTATCATGCTAAGTACTGACGTCTGTAGTGAACTTGTCCTCTCTTACCACACATCACAAATATCACACTATCATGCTAAGTACTGACGTCTGTAGTGAACTTGTCCTCTCTTACCACACATCACAAATACCACACTATCATGCTAAGTACTGACGTCTGTAGTCAACTTGTCCTCTCTTACCACACATCACAAATATCACACTATCATGCGAAGTACTGACGTCTGTAGTCAACTTGTCCTCTCTTACCACACATCACAAATATCACACTATCATGCTAAGTACTGACGTCTGTAGTGAACTTGTCCTCTCTTACCACACATCACAAATATCACACTATCATGCTAAGTACTGACGTCTGTAGTGAACTTGTCCTCTCTTACCACACATCACAAATACCACACTATCATGCTAAGTACTGACGTCTGTAGTCAACTTGTCCTCTCTTACCACACATCACAAATATCACACTATCATGCGAAGTACTGACGTCTGTAGTCAACTTGTCCTCTCTTACCACACATCACAAATATCACACTATCATGCTAAGTACTGACGTCTGTAGTGAACTTGTCCTCTCTTACCACACATCACAAATATCACACTATCATGCTAAGTACTGACGTCTGTAGTGAACTTGTCCTCTCTTACCACACATCACAAATACCACACTATCATGCTAAGTACTGACGTCTGTAGTCAACTTGTCCTCTCTTACCACACATCACAAATATCACACTATCATGCGAAGTACTGACGTCTGTAGTCAACTTGTCCTCTCTTACCACACATCACAAATATCACACTATCATGCTAAGTACTGACGTCTGTAGTGAACTTGTCCTCTCTTACCACACATCACAAATATCACACTATCATGCTAAGTACTGACGTCTGTAGTGAACTTGTCCTCTCTTACCACACATCACAAATATCACACTATCATGCTTAGACAAGATGTACATATTAATCAATATCGCTGATCGTTAACTGACTTGCAACAAAAGAAAAACAATGTTTTGTAAATTCACCTTCCGATTTATATACTTACAATTCTAATATCACCACTGGTTTCTTATTGCTTTTTGAAATTATATAAATGAAAGCATTAATTTAATAAATTGTATTGTCTATAGGTACCACTGTATCTGCAAAAGCAATTCATCATGATTTGTTGCATCAACTTTCTGTCCACAGACAAAAAATCTTATATCTGTGACCTATCATGCCTTGAGCATAGGGAATTAACAGCTGATTGATTAAATGAATGGAAGAGCCCATCATACCAAAGATCAGCTGAAACCTATACTAGTACATGTATGTCCAACTCTCAAATCATGACAACATTCAATTTTGGAATGGATAGAAAATTGCAGATAACTGAAAATAAAAACTTTCTAAATTTAAGACATATGACAAAGTTCGAACAGATATCTTTCTGACTCCATTACTATATCATTTGTGGAGAGCTTACCGGTATTATGCAAAATACGCACAAATCAGTAATTCAGAAAATTATGCACCACGACCTACATATGACTGCGACGAGGCAGCACCAACATATCTAGGTCAAAAGTTCGTCAGCTTCACCCTAATTCATCAGTCATATTTTATTAAAAAAATGAAAAGCAAACAAAAATAAACTCTTAAGAATACGGAATGAAATTTAGTAATACATACACTCACACTAAAAAGATTCAAAATTAGAAAAAAGGAAGATAAAGTAGAGGAAAAAGTATCAACATGTAGAACAGCTGAGTAACAAAAACAGTGGTGATCCATGGCCAGCAGCTGTTCACACCCGTCTAGTATAGGGTGAGTAACACGTCATGCCTAGCAGGGGGTGTGAACAAGCAGGCCATTAACACATGGAAGTGGCAATAACAGAATGTGAAACATTCAGTTCACACATGTAAATCTCATTTTGAAATATAAATCTACTGATGTTTTGTCAGTATTTCAAAGTTAGAAGTTGGTTATGCACCTCTAAGCAGGTATATAATGTCCTGGCATATCATACAAAATGAGGCAGTCTGTCCTTCTTTGTACCAGAACCAACCGTTTTTCCAGCCACTTTGCGCCCTGCACTTTTACTTTCTTTTTTAGGACTCTCCTTTGGTTCAGGAGATTTGGTTTGTTTTGGAGACTCCTCGGTAACTGGCTCACCTAAGGAGATAACCCCACTGGTACCTGTGGAGGCACGTCTGTAGGCTGTTAGGGTTACTGGCTGAGATGCGTCAGATACAGACTTTGTTGATGAGTTTTTCCGTCTCCCACATGTAGAGCAGGAAACCTTCTCTGATTTAGAATTACTGCCAGTAACTGTGGTAATAGGGGTCTTACGTCCAGAGCTGGAACCAGAGGATGAAGACCCTGTTGGTGTCTTCCTGCCACAAGCAGCCACATTACCAGTGGGAGTTTTCCTTCCAGAGGTAATACCAGATGTAGTGCCAGCAGGAGGCTTCTTGTCGGCAGTGGTAGGCGTCTTTCTGCCTGAGGTTTGTGGAGTAGGACTAGTACACCCTGAGCCTGACTCCCCTGTACCAGTACCAGGCTTCACTGGATGTTTGGTAGTGGGAGGTACAGGTGAACGTTTACCATTAGCTGTACCAGGCACTCCACCAGCTGACATAGATCTGTGCATAGCGCCCCTACCTCCAGGCATAATGGCTGCCTTACCCATAACAATGCCACTTGGGCCTTTGACAACTTTGACAGGGTCCCTGGAGGCAGACTTTGTGGTCTTCACAGTGGTTCTAGCAGTCCTTGTCTTCACATCTTTGACTGCTGGTACCAAGGGCAGACTTGGCACACTGACAGCTGGTGGGGTGTCTGGAAGGACTGCCTTCATGGGTGGGGCAGCAGGCAGGGTCTGAGAAGGTTTAGGTGGTGGGGTTTGTGTTATACCTACAGACCGAGAAGCTGGCATAACATGGTCAGACTTGGCTGCTTTTTCAGAAACTAGCAGAGCATCTGAACAACTTTGGATTTTGTTAGAAGGAGGAGGTTTTGGAGAAACAGGTGGTGGGCTCTTTGAAAATGGAAGAGCTTTAGGAGATATAGGAGTCTTCAAAGGTGGTGGGGATTTAGGAATAGAAGGTGCCTTACAAGGTGGAGGTGTTTTAGGGGATGATGGGGTTTTAGGTGGCGGTGTAGGAGTAACTCTGCCAGAAGTTGGTGGAGTCTTTGGGACTGGTATGCAAGTATCCCGTGGTGAAGGGGGAGATTTTGGAGGAGTTTTAGGCATTGGGAGATGAGATAATTTAGGTGATAATGATACTTCTGTTTCTACTGTTTTACATGGTTCAGTATCTATGACAAGGGACTGTTTTGTTTCCATTCCTATACTGCTATTGGCAGTTGAAGTATCTGGGAGTGTGGGCTGATCCTCATTTATAGATCCTGCAAGTCTCTGTGTCATAGCTTGGGAAATAGGTGGTGCAGGAGTTGTTGAGGCTATTGGTGAGGGAGAAGGCACGTGACAAGTAGGATCTGTTTGTGACGTAGCAGATGGAGATAGTGCAGTAGGAAGAACTTTGGCCTTCAATGGTGACGACAGGAGAGAGGGAGTTGAGCACACCTTCAGGGCGGTGCTGGCCTGTATCATAGTCATATCAGCAGGGGGCAGCAGCCCTTCTTTCTTTGGTGGCATGGCCTTGACCTGCAAGGCTGGGGCATCAGAAGGCAGAACATGGGATTGACTAGAAGCTGAGACTATACCAGGTCTGGACAGTGCTTCAGATTGACAATATTTACTGGGTGAAGATGAATCCTCCTGTGAATGTGTTGCTCTAGGCCCAGGTGGCATAACTGATGGACTGGTGTGTGCTGGTCTGCAGCCCTGACCAGCTCCAGAGAGCTGTGGACTGGACACACCAGATGAAAGCCCAGACTCTGAATCCTTACTGGAGGCACATAAAGAATCAGTGATAGACTGAAACTCAAATGACTTGGATTTCCTAGGAACGGAGTTATACCTATCCTCAGCCTGACTTCCAGGGCAGGTTCCTCTGGGAGTGCTCAGCATGGCTGACAAATTTCCACTCAGTGGATATGCTGCACAAGGTAAGCTAGGAGTGGAATCAGCTTTTTTTATGTTATATTCTTTTTGGCGTGGAAGGATTGGCGAGAAGTCAGGAAATCCAGTTCCAGACATTAAATGGACTCGCTGAGGTCGGGGTAGCGATATCAATTTCTTTCTGAATTCTGGGGACATATCTGAATTTGCAGCGGAAGAAATATCAGAATCAGAAGCTGAGGAGTGACTAGAAAAAGACCAGGAAGACTGGTCACTTTTGGAGGACTCCATAGATCTGTTGGATGGTTCTTGTCTTTCTATGGAGACATTTCCACTGGTATCATCAGCCTCAAAAGACAGGGTCTGACAACTTTCATAATCACAAGAAGGTGTATTTGACATAAATTCTTCAGACAAGGATGCTCTGCCCAAGCTAGGGTCAGATACAGCCCGTTTATCAGGACTAAGGCTCATTCTAGCTTTCTGATCATACTCTCCAAAGCTGTTCTTAACCTCTGATGACATATTACCATCACAATGGTTGTTGGGCTCAGGCTTTTCTTTAATGGTGAGACCTTTCAAATGGTCTGATCGACTACTGAAAGACTTGTCACCTATCATAGCTGTGTCTCTCAGACTCTGAAAGGAAGCCAAAGGCGGTGTGATAGCTGTCTGTCGTAACAGTAGTGGAGAAGACAGGGGGCGTGGCGATATCCTACCAGTCTTGCCTGTTGTGTGATCAGATAAAGAGAGAGACTTTCTGGACAAAGTTGGGGACGGGCTGGTTTTCCGTAATCCATAGGAAGTGGGCAAGGATGACTGAATAGACATTGAGTGGCGTAGTAAGGCTGGGGAGAAGCGAGGAGGAGTGGGTGTAAAGGGAACTTTCAGATCACCCTCATCTGACTGCACTGCCTGCTGTCTAGACAAGGTAGGTGATGCACGTGTCTTTAACGTGTTGGCTGACACTGACAATGTGTCTGTCTCTGTTTGTTTATGTTTGGAATCCGAGGATCTATTTGAAGTCTCAGTTTGTTTCTGTTTTGGGTCCAAGGATCTATTTGAACTCTGGACAGGAGGCTGGTCAGACACAGTAGTCTTTGATTGGCAAGGATCAGAAGTAAAGGTGCGTGCAGACCAAGATGAAGATAATGAAGGAACAGGCTTATTTACTGCAGATTGCCTCGTTAAGCATGGGGATCCTGGCTTGGATTTGATTGCAGATTCTGACACAGCATGTCGAGATAAAGTAGGGGAAGGAATTGATCGCATAGAGGCTACCCCTCTGGCTAAAGATGGTGATGCTGGGATAAGTTTCTCGGATATTGTATTTCTTGCAATGGTAGGGGAAGGAGGATTGGGTTTAGAGGGTGCTGCTGACTTTTGCGAGAGAGTTGGGGAGGGAGGAGTTGGTTTAATAGATGATGCTGATTTATTGGAGAGGGTAGGGGAGGGAGGAGTAGGTTTACAGGATGATGCTGATTTATTGGCGAGGGTAGGGGAGGGAGGCGTAGGTTTAGAGGATGATGCTGATTTATTTGAGAGGGTAGGGGAGGGAGGAGTTGGTGGTTTTGAAAATGAAGACAATGATGAGCTTGGAAGGGATTTTGACAAAACTGACTCAGATTTTGAGTGCCTTGAAAATACTGGTGAAGGTGGCATGGGTTTGGTTGCTGGTGCTGTTGTGCGCCTGACGAAGACTGGGGGTGAAGGAGGGGTCTTTTCTGGTGACCTTGAGAAAGTCGGAGAAGGAGGCGGAGGTTTGTTTGGAGGTGGTGTTGTAGGATTTCCAACAACAGGCAAAGGTGGTGAGGAAGAGGACTTTTCAAATCGAGGCAGGGAAGGAGACTGAGGGGTAGGGCTTATGGAGGGGGAAGAGGAATTCTGTCTGGATACACTAGGTGAGCTAGAAGGAGAACTTGAACTCTGCCTTGACAGAACCCCAGGGGAGTCAGAAGTCTTTAAATCTTGACTAGAACTATTGACATCAACCTTACTTGACTTACTGCCACTTCCATTACTACCAAAACTCTTAGCTGTTGCTAACATGAATGATTGTATTGATGACTGGATAGAAGGCCCCACAGATTTCAGCAAACTTTGGGCATTGCTACTTGAACTCTTCGGCTGCAGAGCTCCCTGCTTTTTGGCTTTATCAGAATCAGCAGGGAATCTTGAGTGCACACTGATCTCTCCCACTGGACTGCTGTCAATGATATTGATAGTTGGAACTGCCATCTTCCTGGAACTACCTGGAGATAGCAGCTGGGAAGCCAGTTTTAACAGCTGAGGAGGAGATGGTTTCCCACTCTTTACTGACGGTTTTGATGAACTTGTAACTAGCTCTGTCGGACCACCTGCTGCTTTTCCTTTATCTGGAATAGAATACCACAAATTTTAGTTTTAAATTCTTGTTAATTGTTATTTAGGCACTTTAAGGTTTTCACTTACACTTATTGAAAACAACCATTTTATGACATATCTGAAATCAAACTGACTTAAACCGAAAATTGTTCATTACCAAAAACACAGACAATATTCTCAATAAAGATGTAAATTGAGACTGAGATGGAAAGTAGAACAAATGAATGAATGAACAGTTTAAAAAAAAACAAAGTACATAACTAGTTAACAAGAATTGATAGAAAGTATGATTAAGTACAAAAACACAATAGGATAACTAAAGCTTTCCCAAGTTTGTTATTTGCGAGTTTGTTGGGGGACAATACGGTGCCAGTGTACTATCAGGTGCTTGGTAAACCAGAAAAAGCAGCACACAAATCTCAACACAGAGGTCACAAACAGTACATACACCCCAGAGCTTAATAATATCTTACACTGACTGGCTTAAATACGATCATACAGAATACAAAATAGTCTATTAGGTTCTAACTTTGAGAGAGCACTTCAGAAAATTTTAATTCAATTTTACCTTACAGAATTAGAATGACTTACACCCATAGCTGACTCTATCACTCAAAAGAAAAAAAAAATAAACTGAGATGTTAGCATCCAGCTTAGTAAAATCTTCCGATTGGTTGTGTGGCAGCATGCCACAGCATATTAGTATACTGTTGAATACTCTCTGTAGTAGCTAAATCACCCTAAATATTTAACAACATAACCAGTTACCCATGGAATGTCATTTAAAACAATATATGTTTTCATTGATAACTCGTCAATTGATAAATAAAGGACAGAACTTGTGTATGAATACCTGTTCTTCCCTAATTTGGATAACAAAGTTTAAGTACATGAAGCTATACTGCTAACATAAATATAGAAGGCATAATATATAAATATGGGAACATTGCCGCCACAAGATCTGTTAAAAGGATTAAAGGCCACATCCTGGAGAAGTTGTATCCTCTGCCATGCCATCTAGATTAGCAAACACACGACTATCATTTCTTGATAAACTAAATCATCTTTGATTTCTTTTTCCATTTTATTATATAAGAAATCCAATTTAATTATTTAAAATAGATCATGGTATCATTAATATTTCTTCACTGTCATGATTTTGAACTTCTTTTTATGAAAAGAAAGCAGTGTTTTAAAATCCCTAATATATTATATAAACATATCATGAATAAAAGTACCCAGACAAAATATATAAGACAAACAAATTATGAAAGAAGATATACATAGAATAAAAGGAAGCAGAATCTCCATCAATTTGTCTGTTACTGACACTTCTCACTTATCAAAGTATGTATAATAGTTTTGGGTAATATCTAGCAGGCATGCAGGACATCATACAAAATCAACCAAGTGGTCATTCCACATGCTTTGGCCAGCAGCTATAGTCAGTCGGTGGTCAATGTGGCTTACCAGCACTGGTCTAAGATGACCGATGGCTAAGGGTGTACACTTTTTTACCTACAATGACCATGTGTACAATGTTACATTCCCTTCTCATGTCACATTCACAAACCTAAAATGGCAAAACTAACTACTTCTGTCTACCATAAATGATGTGCTTTTTGTATGCCTCATCCTGTATCAAACATACTATATATCTCACCAGAGCCCGGGCAGAATAAACTACGATATTATTCCGGTTTTTATTTGTATTATAGATTTACACAGGCATATGATAAACATACATATGTACCATATTGTGGTATGTAATGCACACAGAACTAGGCTGGCATCGATGCTTATGTATAAATCATACCATGGTTCAGTAGCAATGGCGATGTATCAATATATATGTGACAACACTACTACATATCACATCTACATGAATCATCTAACACAGAGTGGCCTAAATTTTGCCCTGTTTGGAAACATCTTACAACACTTCCCTTCTCCATCAATGATGTAAACGGAAATCAATGAACATGAACAGAAGAGTACATCAAAGAGAAATTACTAAGGCATTATTATGTTATCAACTTGTACAGTTATTATATTAAGGATATTGCATAAATGTCAATGTACAATTGCACAAGTGTAAGATTCTATTTATCATATTACCCATATACCTGAAAAATAAACAGAAACTCTCAAATTGATTTCCTTATCAGATTGACTTGTTTCGACATGGAAGGTACATTCTTCAGTACTGAGACAATCATGTGATGTCATCAAGGTGCGACTTATTGATGACATCACAATAGTGTTATACGTGAAATATGAAAAGGTTCCATGGCATGACACAACAGGACAGTTATGTGATAAAAGTTGTTTGTGTCAATATCCCATACTGAATGTACCGTATAAATTGTATATTGTCTCAAGCTGTGGGTAGTAGGCGAGAGTATGATTTAACAGTACACAATGCCTAAAAAATTAATGCAAAAACATGTAAAATATCTGTAGCTTGTACAGACTATCAATAAAGGCAAATTTTACAATTTTCATTTTTGAGCATTGGATAGAGTTTGTTAAAATGAAATACACACACAAAAAACCATGGGGTTTAACAGTAAGGCTTTAGATCTGTCATGAAGGAGGCATTAAGATTTAAATCCAAGTTTGTCTGATACAATTTTCAGCAGCTGCAACTAGTATCTTCAAACAGAAACTATCTTATAAACAAAGCAGTGAAATTTTCATAATATCTCATGATTTTTTATAACAAATTAAACATGGGTTATTGACTTATGTAGTAAAGATTTCCTAAAAACTATGTAAGTTTAGGCACAAGTCATTCATTTCAAGACGCAAAGAAAATTCCAACAGAAAACACACCAGTAAATAAACACTGTTAAAGTATCATACTTAATAATCAACAAAACATGTATGTAATGTGTAAACTACAGGGATATCTGTATATAAACATGCAGTAATATATTTCTACTGAGTACACAGATAATAGGTGTGGGACATACATACACTGTTAAATACCACACCAAACATTTCACAACTCTGTATTATTGCCTCACCAGACTAAAGCTTTTCACCTGGAGGTCATACATGTTTATATTGCGAAAAGATGGTGACACAAAATAGACACTGTCTAGTAACAGAACCATGAATGATTGTTGAAAAGTTATATTTTCAATTATCTGAACTTCTGATTTAATCTGTGTGAATGATCTAGAATGGACATGCATCAATAATAGTCAGCTGAATGTATAACTCTTTATTGTGCGTAATCCACCCCGTTGTTTAGGTCAGGAAATAATTCCATTAAAATTGAAATCACAAATTACAGTATTACCACCAGAGGTCAATTCTTTCTATTATTTTGATAAGTACAATTTTTTCCCATAAGGTATGATTCTTCATTGTGAAATTAAATTTTGTGACACAATACAATGTGGAAAGCTTCAAACACAGCGGAAGTATTTCTTGTAACTATTTAAGGACAAGTATTTCTGCAAAAAGAACAACATTTAGGACAAACTAGTAAACTAAAACATCAAATAGTTAGAGATGAAAATATTTTCCTCTCAAGTGTTTTTCAAGTATCATAGAAATGGCTAAAGCCTGAGGTGTTATGTAGTGGATCACAGTGTGCGCTGGTCGGGACTGAAATCAGACCTTGTACCCATTAAATAATATGTATATGTAGTCAACACCCCCCCCCCCCCCCCCCCCAAAGAAATTACACAGAAAAATGAGTTTGTGATTAGGTAATGGGAAATGTAAATAACAACACAAAAATGGTAAACTGCTTCTCACACACCTGCACATACATCTAACACCAACCTCTTTCACTTTTCTATGGCAGTGACATTGGCCTCCATAAAAATAAACTTGTGATTGTGCACATCATTAAAACACCATATGGTTAATGCAAGTATCAAATTTTTTTCCTACATCAAACAGGTAGAGAAGTCAATTTTTAAACACAAGAAAAGAAGTTGGGTAAATTAATTAAAGAAATCTTTATCATCAGTTTGAAATAATTCACTTTTTGGTAGTAAATATGTACATCACTTTTGGTGTCAAAATGAAATATCACCCACCATCTTTTGTGTATCCCGGAATTTTCCGCTAATTCACTGATCACCAACACCTTACATGTGAACTATCATTGTGACCCATAGTTATGATACAAAAGGATATTCAGTCCTGAGTTCAATGTAAATGTTGACATTTGATGTACATGTATAGTGATGTGTACATCAAGGTTAATAGATGTGACATCCGTTCCTCCACCATGCTTATGTTTAGACAACAGGACAAATCATTCTCAAATGGACATACAAATATCCTCATTTCTCTTGATATCATCATTCAGTAGTAAGTGACTCTTACTGATCAGATTAGTGATAGTGAGCTATCCAGTTGTTGTTTAATGAAATATCAGAATCTGTCACACATGTGCGTTTAAAATTGATTTATCTCAGTAGAGGGCTGGCATTCGAATAAGAGGTTACAAAATTTCAGTCTGTGGCCAAGATAAATCAATCTTAAACACAAACAAGGAATGGATTCTATTTCAAGTATGTAATCTTTAAAATTACACAAATTTTTTTCAACTATTTTCAAAAATATGACATCACTCGGTGCCAGATGTCACATAAAGGCATCAGAAATATTGGATGAGACAGAAAAATCCATGGAGATTTCCCCATCTTGTGTCTGAGAATGATTTGTCCCGTGGTCTGTCTCTGTCCCAACAGACATTTGCTACAGTCTGGACAGTTATATTATAAGGGATATACGGATTTGATAAATACATAATTAAGAATAATGTTAACTTACTGTCTACTACAAAAGACCATAGCACTCAAGCTGGACTGGAAGGAAAATAACAAAAACAACATGCACATTAAAAAATTAAAAGCCAAACAATCAAAGAATACAATGTAACACAAAACAGGCAAAACAATGAAAAATACAATGTAAATTACAGGCAAAACAAAACATTACAGGCTTAGCAACTAATACACTGTCATACAATGTACATCATATAACAGGCAAAACATTACAGGCTTAACAACTAATACATTGTCATACAATGTACATCATATAACAGGCAAAACATTACAGGCTTGACAACTAATACATTGTAATACAATGTATATCACATTACAGGCAAAACAAACATTACAGGCTGAACAATAATCTATGGTATACATTACTTCAAACAAGTTTAAAATATATATATATATATAGATTTAGCAATATTTCTTAGTTGCAGCAAACCTGTATGCTTGATGACATAAACATCTGAGCTTGTATCAAATTCCCAGAGCTTACTATCACTGTTCTATGATTAAAACTTCATTCTTAATAACAAATATGAAGACTAGATCTAGTGTTAAAGATTGATGAAGTACCAAAATAATACCAATTGTTTATTTGAGCCTTGTATTTGAGTAACAGACAAGACATGGCCATGTCCCTGACTTGTTCAAATACATCGGAGACCATCAAATATATTTCTTTATATCAATATAACTGCCTACATGTGACTTAAATCTTTACACTGGTAATGAACAATACATGTATGTTCCTTGCTGTTCTTTTTCAGAAAATGCATGGAAATATAAAATATGACAAGAAATCTTAAATCAACATGGCTCTTTAAAAAACCTACATGTTATTGGAAGAATTTTCAAATTGCTCAGAAACTTAAAGAGGATGTCTCTAGAAAATACATTTGTATAAAGTACTAAAAATGTCAAAGAGGAAGAACACAGCAGTTTATGACATTGGTACAGATGTCATACTTCAGTATTCAAGTGAAAATTTCACAGATGTATAAATGGCTTGTATTAAATCATTTTCATCTGATTCTATTTTGCCTAGATTTTATCATTGATTATCCCATTCAAAAGAGCCAAAAAACATATGTTAGGAATATAAAAGAATTTAACTCATTCACTTCCATTAGGTTTTACTACCTTCAATAAATTTTAGAATTATCCACTTTAAGTGAGTCGAAATTATCTCGATTAAGTCACCAGCATTTGTAAATGTAAGCTTATGAACAATGCTGATACTCCACATACAATCAGACACCATTGGTATAAAAGTGTGTGTTAACTTAAATATCTTCCAAGGATAATGATATAGTCATACATGCAGCACAACTCCGACCCAGTTATACATGTACCATCACCTTCTAATATACGAATAAAGTCTACACATACCATCACCTTCCTAACATACACAGGTCATAAACAATTCACTTATGTAAGTATTTGTGTATCAAATGTATGAAATTGTTTAGTTAATATATTGTACATTTAAAATTAGTCATTAAATAGGGGAAAAAAATCACAAAAAGTACCAAGTATTTCTACTAATGCTAGCCACAAGGGACGTTTTCCACAATCAGGTTAATACAGAGAACATGAAGGAAAGAGTAAAAAGACAGTCAGTTACTATCCCGAGATTATCCATCACTCAACACAATTCAAAATGAACATCAGTCAAAACCAAAACCCAAACACATTGTACAAAACAGGATTACCACGGTGCAGTGCTCACAATTCAGCTAGCAAAGGTGAAGGTTGCCCATTGTGTAAAAATAGAAATTATAACATTTACTTGTAACCTAGCAACACTATAATGGTGGTTACTTGTAACCTAACAACACTATAGTGGTTACTTGTAACCTGGCAACACTATAATGGTGGTTACTTGTAGCCTAGCAACACTATAATCATGGTTACTTTAACAAAACAGCACACAGGTGAAGATTAAATGAAACGTGAAGATTACTCTCTACACAAAGGTAAGCTGACTACCTTTTCTATATACTGGAGACTATGGTACAGACAATGGGAGCATGCGTGTCCTGGTCCTCTGCTACAACAGGCTCACCTACAGAACATTCCAAAACAATCGTAAAGTAACACACACAAGCAAACAGACAGCCAATGGCTGCCATGCAATTGACTTCCCAGGTAGTTACACACACCATTGTGGTAATCAAACTTTTTAGGATCATAAAAAATTTTCCATCACATGGTACAAAACTTAAAGAAAAATCCTTGTTTTTGATCATATTGTTTTTTACTTAACACATTAACTAACTGAGGAAAGCTTTCCACAGCAAAAACTTCACAATTTTGAATTCAGTATTAATGGAGACAAAGTGTTGATACTGATAATGACTATGATGAAGACCCATAACCCATTCCACAATAAATAATTTGAAGCAGTACAGCTTGTTCTTTAGATATCAAAACCTACACCAAGATTTGTACATGGTAACAAGTAATATACAATGATTAAATGCCCAGAACCACCTCTCATATACACAGGATATTACTTCTGGAAAATTTGGGGCTATAATATCATGCCCTGTCCTTCCTTGGGCAGGTTGGTCCTACCTTGCTGACAGGACACAGTAGGTATGGCTTGTTTTGTATTTGGGGGATGGGAGTCATCAGGAAGCAGAGTGTCAGGTAATTCATCATCAGATTGTATATCTACATCTCCCTCGTCTTCGTCTGAAAAGTGTGCCACATCCGTACAAGATGTTAAAATTCTGTTACTACCAAGCATCATGCAGAGATGTCCCTATCAAAGTGGTGTCAACACAGAACATCGCCCCAATACCTACAGCCAACTAACTGTAAGTTATCTGTTATCTATTAATCTGAGTTCACACTAAAATGATCTGCACCATATGTTTTCTATGCAAATTACAAAATAGTCAAATGATGTGATCTTTAAGTCTAATATTTAAATGTACATTTCCTTTCTGTTTTTCTCCCAATGAAAGGCAAGCAATTGACAGATTTTGGGTAAATTCTAGAGGACTGTAATGACACCACTAAAGAGTAGAACAAATCTATGATAAAATGTACTGGTAAGATATCATTACTATTCAACCAACTAGTAATAGCAGATGCATGACGATCTCACAATGCAGTTATTGTTAAACATTAACACCATTCAAGGTGCTTTATAATGAAAATCAAGTAGTTCACCTATAAAATTACAACATTAGCAATTACCTAATGAAATAACATGTATGATTCTTGTTAACCACCAAATCAGTACCTTAAAACATTCAGCATTCGTTTGTCCTTTACATGAACCCAGGAAATTTAAAATACTGTTTCCATTATTAAGGTACTGTTTTAGTGGAAATCAGACCGAGAGGCATTACGTCAATAATTGTTTACATAAGTTTTTAATTCATGCAGTTTTCACTTGTCAGTAATCAAATTATCTTTCAAAATGTTAGTCCTTCAGATGTATTATATGGAATACTGTATATGAAATTCATTTTAAGATATGCTGGAGAATTAATATGTAAGCAGAGCTTTGTAAGTATTAGTTTATAGGTTAAAATAAAAATCTCACTGGCATTTTCCATATTTCTGTAAAAGTTAACTTATCTGAAAGATGTTTTAAGCGTAAGTTTTTCATACTGAAACTTTGAACACTGTCAGGAGTTTCCCTATATTTTTACAAAGTTACTAGGAATGCAAAAGACCTTGATGAGTAATTAATAGACTTTTATAAATTCGCTGTTGAATAGCATTTCAACCTTTGGTAATACCAAAAACAAAAATTCCATTGCAAAAAATAAAACACAAATGATTACAATACATTGACTGCATATCACATCCAAACAAATTTTATCCATCTAGATATTTCAACATCTAGTCAGAATTTTATAAATATATTTAAATCAAATTCCGAAAAGATTTTATCATTTTCATAATCTGCTTTAATTGAATGTTACACATTCAGGGAAGATGCATGTTTAATAAAAAAAAAAATACTAGAATTATGACAATGAACATTAAAGATGACTTTATAGAAATTAGTAATGTATTAGGATTTCACATGCTTTCTCACTTGAGTTTTAAAACATAAACATTGCTTTTGTTTCAAAAAGCTTCGGTCAGACATGTTCTTATGTCCTTTATCCTATCAAGCAATCACGTAATGACTTAGTAGAATCAAAGAAGGTGCATCTTGCACAATTAGCAGTGATTATTCTCAATGTTACTTCTGTTAGCTTGATAGTTCAGTCAAAATACACTAAGTCTACACCATCCAAAATGTGCTAGATGTGACAAGATTCCAACCCTATATATGTATCACACTGGGGTGGTATAATTAGTGTGGGCAGGCGGAGGAAGAGAGGCATTACCGTCAGAGATAGTGACAGAAGGGGATGCCTTTTTGTCACAGTGGGCAGTCCCTGGCAGTAAAAAGTCTGCATCTGAACTCTGAAACAGAGAAACTGGGTCATACAATCCCATGCCTTCCAATCACCATGGCAACATAATCTACCACCTCAATCCCATGAAAACTAACAACTGGGAGATTAGACATATGGGAGACCACTTAATCATTAAACGTCCAAAATATCTCACAACACTTCACCATAGTTTTGTCAGTTACTAAGAAAACTGATATGACATTCATAAACCTTTCATAATAGAAACATATTATATTTACTGTTCAGCATATTTAGGTTATCATACTGATGGTAATGTATTGTTACAAGCATGACAATCTTAATAAAGGTTAATAATGCTGCATGTTAGTTACCAAAGGCTCTTGTATACCTTGCAGCAGTCTATGTATATTAGGTAACATCTGACAGCAGACAAGTTTTAAAAAATTATTTATAACAATGTCTCAGTAATAAAAGTCCAACACCCTTTTGACAATACAAGATATATAATTACTTAACAGAAATAATTACAAATACAAAAAAACATCAGGGTTTATTCACAATACTGAGGAACACAAAAAATATGTACAGTAAAACAACACATTTTACTAATTAAAAATGACAGTAAAACAACACATTTTACTAATTTAAAATGTTACACACAATAGTCCATACAGGTTTTGTAACTTTACGGTTGATTAATGAGCCTGTCGTCTCCTCTACCTGTAAACATTTACTCATGCTCAACAAACACAACACACAATGAAAAACTTCACACAGCTGATCCATTTACGTGAAAAAGTTCACAGCTAATTCATCTGAAAAAGAGGTTTACACTTGTAAAGAATGCTACTATGGGTCATGATTGGTGAGGTCAACTTGAGGAGGGAACATAGACAATTGATAAAACAGATGTGTATACAACCTTCTGGTCTGGATCTTTGTTTTCTGGTACTGCTTGTATCAGCTGTTCTACTGGCTTCTCTGGGACTGAAGAACTAAACAACAAAAAAAGGATATTCAAACCAATCTACTCTTTACCTCATTAGTATATACAAACTACACTAACTTATTGTTATATCTCATCAAACCTACTGACTGTGATTAAATGTCATTCAATGGTTGTCAATGTGCCGTGACAGGTTACCTGATACAATCACTATTGCATATTCAAAATATATTTCACTTTCAACTCTCTCAATTAAAAAAAATAAATAAATAAAATTAAAAAATCACATTTTTTTAGAAAGTAGTTGTACTGTGACCTCTTCTTCCCATCCAGATATAATAAACAAAGTAAAAAATCACATTTTTTCAGAAGGTAGTTGTACTTGGTCAATATTTGTTAACATTTATACATAAAAACAAACCTTTCAGACTTGATTGGTTGCTTCTCCGTGCCTTTATCTTTCTTTTCTAAATGAAAAAATAAACCATATCAGCCTCTCTTGCAGTTTAAAATCAATATTAATTCATACTGAATAATGCTTTCAAATTAGATATAAAATTGAGATGGAGCAAAGAATGCAAAAAAAGAAAAAGCAGTTTTTATGGCATGTGGACAGGGATGTTGGTTAGTAAAACAATCAGCAAAATCTAGTGAGTTAGGAATGTATAGAGAAATGATGACAATGGTGAAACAATAAATTAATAAGGAGTCGTGTTATCAGCAGAGTTTACAGAGAATTACAAGAGCCTAATTTGAAAAAGGTAATTCATTCAAAGTAAAAATGATGATGGCAACAATCTATAAACATAGTTATCCTTGTATTGAGTCTAGAACCATTAACAAGTTACACTGCAACATAATTTATATTTTTTGAGAAAGATGTGTTTCCAAGGAAACAAGTTAAGTGGGGCCAAATCTTTGTGAGAAATCATCTGATTGTGTCATAGTATTTTTGGTCTTGGGTATTGCAGTTTACCTGTAGAATCTTGTTTGTCTAACTGTATTGATGGTGTGGGGGTACTCTGAGGACTAGGGGTAGGTTTCTTTGGACCTTTACCATCACCAATCTTCTCAACAGGTGTTTCACCAGGTATTAATTCATACTCTGTTTCTGGTCCAAATATATCCTGCAACAATGAAGAGTTCTTCACTAACAACCGATCATCACTAATCATGATATTAAAATCCATATACTTTTGAATGTACTGATGTCATGGATAAATTGAAGTTCCAGACATAACAACTTAAAGCAAACACATAGTCCCTCCATTAAGGCTTACATACATATTTTATTTACAATTGAAGCTATACAAACCTTGACATTAGCGATAAGGAGTTCCACTGCTCTAGTCTGATGAGGCATGTCTACTAGGTAAGCTAGAGAAGACGCTCCTTCCCTGTAATATAATATGGATCATTATCTACTGATCAGGTAAGTCAATATCTAACTGACCATAACTGTCTTCTACATAATTCAGACAAGAGTATTCTTACAAGTCATATGGTAAAACATATTACAGTGGGATCTAGTATATCTCTAAAAAGTACATTCATAAATATAATCATAACCATGATGAAAGTATTGGCATGGGACACAAATAGGGAATTGTACACATTAAAATAAATGTATGCAAAATTTGAATTTTTTATGATTTTTTTCAATCCAAGTGTACAAGTGTATCATGTAAGCCAAAATTCAAATCAAGCTCCCCACAATTTATATCTTTTCAAACTAAAAATGTTTGTAAAATAAGTATGTCCTCATTCCCTTACATAGAAGTAAACTTGCTGGAGAAAAATCTTGTAAACTGATTACAGCATCCTCTTAATATTGTTTGACTTTTGCACAAAGTTTGATTCAAATCTTTACTAGAATGAAGTCACTAAAATGGTAATTGCAACCAACTGTAATTGTAGTTCTGGACAAGAGGAAATGGTCATGGACTGATTCAGACGAGGACCACCAAAGTGTTATACTATCCCATCCAGCCTTTATCTCATGCTTAACAAGTGTATACATTCTACATTATACAGCATTACATCAGAATATGATATTCTCTAAACGGTTTTTAGAGGAGCCCATTACACAGTATTATATCAGGAGCACTGGCATTGATATCCTCGACAAGAGTGAGATGACTTACAAAGGTCTGAGTAACGTTGGACCAAACACAATACCCAGGTTACTTGCTGTCATCTGATTTGAACTGTAGTTATCAGCAATTCTGGAAATATCAAAAAGAATACTGTCATTACATATTCTCTCATGTTTCGTTCCAGCGTTAAATATCATAAATAGCAAAACATGTTGAAAGCATCTTTAATCCAATTTTGACAAAAAGTATTTCTAAAGATAACTTGTATTAAATTCAAACAAATTCTAATATAAATAAAATAAAACAAAATAAAAAAAAAATATACCAAACTTTTATTTAATCAAAGTATTTTTTTTCTTAACAAATAAACTCACCTGTGTAAGTGGTGCATAATAATTGCTGAGGTTTTAAAATTTGAGTATGGCAATTTTGATACAACATCTGCAAGCTGATTGACTGTTTCCTCGAGGTCAAACATTCCTGCCATCTGTTCCTTTAAAAGACAAATCAAATTACAGGTGTAAATAGGTAACATGTCAAATAAAGTGACCAAGTAACCAGGTGTTAATATCAAACAAAATCATGTGTTACTTGGAATTAAGTCCAGAGTCCTACAAAGCCAAAAGTGTAATTCACCAATGTAAAAACTGTTATGTGATCTTGATGTTTATGCAATATACAGAATTTTATTGAAGAATTGAAATTTCCAAAACTTGATGGTTGAAATTCACACATACTTAAGATTTGTTTTTTTATCAATTCACAGCCTACAGGAATAATCATCATTATTCAATAATTGCTTTAGACTTGGTCATACAGCATTTAACATCTCGTAATGTTACTATACTACTTTTAAAGAAAGCAACCGAGCATGCTTACCCCTTCATAAGTACTAATTGAAGCCCAATTATATCAAATCTTACCTTGGCAATTCTTATAAAACTTTGATAGCTTTTAAATGTTAACAATGGCTCTGGCAACTGAAAATGAAATGCAAAAGTTATAAAATGCTTAAAACTCAATTAAACATTCTTTGTATTTTCTAAGTAGCAAAATTTGATTTACAGATGATCAGCATTATTTGCAAGTGTTTCATCTAGTAATCTAAAATATATGATTTCTTCAACAGGATTATTTTTATTAAACAAAGATAATTCAGTTCAAAGTTATGTGAGAATAGTATAATCAATGTCATTATAATGCCACATTTGATTGGGTAATATATAGAACGAAAACAATGACTTGTACTAGGAAAAGAAACTCACCTGTCGGAGATAAAGCTTTAATACATTAGAGATAACATTATGATTTTCCTCGGTGAGATCAACAGAGTCAGGATCTTTCTCAAAACGCTGGCATAGACCTTCCACTTTACTTTTTACCCCTGATTTCCGATAAATACCCTGTTTAATAAAATACACATCATTAATACAAGCAAAGCAAATCTGCTTCATACCTCTGAAAAAAAATCATTTAAAGTGATGTTCAGATACTAAATATTAATTGATACATTTTGTCCCATTAAAAAATCACAAATCCTTTTTATATAGTAATAATGACTTTGATCTGAATTCCTGAAACACAAAAGTGAACACGACATTTGTGTAAAAACGAAAATACTACCAATAAAATAAGTGTTGATACACTTTATGTGTAACCTACAAACAAGGGCAACACTATGCACAATTCTGAACAGTGATATTGACCTGTACATAAGACTTTGAACTCTTTCTGAGATCCAAAGATTATATGAGGACAATGTGAATGAAGCTCCATGGAATTTGGCTGGTTTTACTCGATCAATATTGATCAATGGAAGGACAGACAAATAACAAAGAGGACACCCATATACAATGTCTATTACATTATACATTATTAAATGAATTAAGTGATGTCAGTTATTTTGAGATTTGAGAGTGTTAATCCTACCTCTTGATTAAGACCTCTTTTTTCAATTTCCTTCAAGCACTTGGTGATGATAGGAGGCACAGCAGATTTACAATGTTCCACTTGTTCCTGGAAGTCTACCCCAAACGTTGTGTTCCTCCGCCGACCACTAGGCTGAAGAGATGAGACACATATTTACATAGAAGCATGGCTAAATGAAAAAATTCAACTCCCTTATCTTTCTCAAAAGCATGTCACTGAGTCTGCCTCTCTGAATAAGCTAGTGATAGAATGTCTTGCACAATTTTCATCTTTATCTTATAATCTGTACATACCTTCAGAATACCGCGAAGATCCCCACCATCAGCTCCAGGTAGTGACAGTAAGTCCCCTGCAAAGATAAACAGAAGCATTATTCAAACTGATTTTTATCATTTCAAAAACACTGAAGAACTGAAAAGGCATCACATTTTTGGTAACTTTTAATATTACTAAATAAAGTTTCCATCAAATCTCCTTAATGAGGATTCAATAACAGGTATTCACTGACATACAAACATCAAATTTGTATAAACTGGTAAAAAGAATCCTTACTGTGTTGATCAGCATCATCCCTCTCATCCAGTCCATCCAGTGATCCTGCAGTCACAAGTTTCCTGTGACTGGTAGGGTGGGGACTACTGCTGGGGGAGGAGTCAACAGACTTACTGCTACCACTGGCACTGTCAGTGTCACTTCCCATCACAAGGCCAGGACTCCATGCCTTCACAGGAGCACGGTACCGGTCTGAAATAGTATGTATCTCTGGTAAACAACATTCACATAGTATCACTTTAAAGAAAAAAAAACACCATTGATGAATACCTATCAAGAGTGATTTTTTCTTTAAATATTAAGTAGTAAGCCTAAAGAAGAATTTGAAAATCAGATTTGCTTTAATACCCTATCACAACTATGCACAATCAATCCTGTGATAGAACCAACCTTCTTTTCCACAGGAGGTACTTTAAAAAGAACTTATGACATGGAATTCAAAAACCTGAGCTATCCCAGGGTAGGTATGTTGAGGTCAGCCCTTTTGTAATTGAAGAATATAGGCTTTCTTAGCTATCTTAGTGAGGGAAGGTAAGTCTTTATCTCCGTTTATAAGGGATGGTAAGTCTTCACCTACCTTTGTGAGGAAAGTTAAGGCTTTACTTACCTTTGTAAGGGAAGGTAAGTCTTTATCTAATGTTGTAAGGATGGTAAGCCTTTAATAAGCTGTGTCAGAGAAGGGAATCCTTAACCTATCTTTGGGATGGTAGGTAATCAGAAGATTCCTTGCCTTTGAATAAGACTTAAAAGTGATATTTCGCAGGGCAGGCAAGCCCAGATGAGCCCGGCTCTATATAATGCTTGAAAAGGTTAACCTACCCTGAAGTGGGGAGGAAAGCTGAGGTGAACCACCCTGGGAAGAAGGCTTACAGGTTGGATATTAACCTACCTTTGCTAGGGGAGGCAAGCTGAGGTGAAACCGATAGGGAAGAAGGCTTATGGATTGGTTTTTGACCTACCTTTGCGAGGGGAGGTAAGCTGAGGTGAGCCCTCTTGTGACTGAGGCCCTGAGGATGCAGATCCTGTAGATTGTGTACTTGTTTTTCTGTTCTCAATTTCTCTGTAATATCAATATTTGATACCAGTTTACATTTGTCAAAATTATTTAATGTTATCTTAATGTGGGGTAAGAGACATTCTAGCATATCATTATCGAAGATTCACTTTCCTAGATATGACATTATGATTACATAACAAAGTTTGCATGTCTGGTAAAAAAATCCTCCCATCCTTCCTACATCATCTGACCTGTTTATATAACATTTATCTTCAGCATACACTCTGTCTATATCATACTACCCATTAGTCTCCATGTGGGATAATGAACTATGTAAGAAACAAAATGATCTCATAGACAAAGTGTTATCTAATTTTATCACAATAGACAGTGTGAAATACCTCGATATAGTATATATACAAAGGGACTTTTTCAATTAGGAGATAAATCTGCTATATTTAAAATGTGCAGTCATACTGTGATTTACTGTTGCATATGAAATTTTACTGGAAATGTGTAGCAGAAACAGTAAAACAGATATTTATGACAGTATAAACATGCTAAACAGATGCGGCTTTCAAAACACTGTAGGACAATCCTTATTCTAATTTATGTAGTTTTAATCAAGCTTAAGTATAAATCATTGTCTTGAATAAATGCAGAGATCTGAATTACTATGCTCAAAATTACAATTTTAAGACAGTTAATTTTTATTGATATTTTGGAGACAGTCAGGGTCACTGGCATCATAAACAATTGCTATCCCACCTAAATATGCAAATGAGAAATATGGTCAGAGTACATCTTGGTTATACTGCTGCATAATTTCATCAACCTATCAAAAGCTGTGTTTTATCCGAAATTAATCCGAATATATGATTTTATTCCTGGTTCAGTCGACAACCAAGAAAACCTTAAGTAACAAAGGCATCCAACTGTGAATAATACAGTGAAGCTTTCATACACATAAACACATTAGGTCCTATTTGTCTCACCTTGTTGTATAAAAAGGTTCAAATGCAAACGGTTCTGTGTTTGTTGTATTGCTAGAGTTGACAGGCAAGCGTTTGACATACTCCTGGAACTGGACCCCACTTTCATACTGCTTTGTTGTCTCTGACAAAGTGTGATACTGTAAACATACAACATAAATTCTCATTGCCTAAAAAGTAAATTCACAAATTCTTAATATCTAAAATATAAATGATTTTGCCAAAATTTGTTTTGACTGAAATTCATTTATAAAATGTATTGCTTTTACAGTTGTAAATATTCAACAAATCAAGGTGAAGCATGAGAGTTTCTAGGTAGAAATTATGTTTGATTCACAGCTAATAGTTTCAATGCCATGTTGACCTTACCTGTATAGGTATGGGTGTTGAAACTGTGTGTAGGAGATGGAAGTATTCTATAGTAGCCTGAAATAAAAATGAGAAAGTGTGGCAGAGAGTTTTGAACAACCCAAACAAACATCAAAAACAACTTGTGTAAAACATCAACATTTTATTTCTCAGTTATTTAAATAATTCATTTTCAAAATATCTAACTTTGTTGAGGAGTTTTCAAAATAGCACTAATTGAAAGTGTCAACTTACCAGTTTTATAACTTGATCACACTGGTAAATCTGATCTCGTATTCTGGCTATAAGGTCTGCCTAAAAAACATATACAAAATACTAATGTAAATACATCATCCATTGTAACCTGATCACAATGGTAAATCAGATCTCATATTCCGGCTATAAGGTCAGCCTAAAAAACATACAAAGTACTAATGTAAAAGTAAATACACAATGCAAGTTTGGCATGACAGACATGTGTTATTTACTTGGTAATATTGTCTATCATTACTTGTCCAATTTTGAAAATTAGATAACACACTAGTCTCCAGTAACATCTGTTATGTAACCAGCACACTTTTTCACCACACAAGTACCTTTGTCTTTTCCAGCTCTTGCTGCCTACAATTTGCCTCAGCTACGCATGCCTTGTATGTCGTCTCAGCCTCCGCAGCCTGTTAAATGAAGGACTATGTTAGAATATGTCAAAATTAATCAGACCTCTTAAATGAGCCTGTAATAATGAAGATACATGTAAAGGCACTATGACAAAAACAAAAAAAAAAAAAATAAGCCAAAAAGCTGAAGCCTAAATTCTGCTTAATCAAATCTTCAGCTAAAATCATTTCTTTTGCATACATATTACTACAAATACTGATCAGCTATAAAATCCATGTTCATCTGGAGTTGCAAGAGAAGACTTTATACATTACACCTTAATGCCAGTGTAAACTTGATAAGTTTTACCATAATTTCTGAATTCGTGCCAGCGCCTGGCAGTCTTCAGACACAAACCTTGTGCATGGCCTCCTCTTCTAACTTTCGTCGTTTGTCCACCTTACTCAAAGCACTAGTACCAGTGCTACTTTGGGACAACATGTCCGCCTCCAGCTTGTTGGCTTGCTCCCGTACCTTCTCATACTCCTGCTGTCGTGTAACATACAGTGTCTGTGCCTTCCGTAAACTGTGAACTGCATCTTGCTGTCAGTTAAAGCAGAAAGTCTATTAAATCCCTGTATATCCATGTACATGTTAATTATACATGGCTTTCTAATATTACACTGCTAGAAGTTACATTAATTTCAAAATGATATCTTTTGTGGAGATTTCATAATGAAATATTTATACAATTACTATCATATATATTTGGCCAACAAACAAAAATAAAATATGCATATACACTGAATGTGACATAATACGATTTTACAACCTATTGAATATCTGAAAAACAATATTTTCCTTTGATCATACCATTCTCTTTACTTCCTTTAGCCAAGAGTCTTTGATGGTTTTCCGTTCTTTGTCGTGTTCTAACCGTCTGGCAGTTAATGGCTAAGAATAGAAAACAGAGTTCATTTTTCCAGCACATATGTAGGATAGGAACAATCTTTTAATCTTCTTTTCCTTGGTATCTTTAAAGAAGCATTTGTGTGAATATTTATAGGGTACAAGGCTTTTGGGAACTTCCCCGTTTTCAAATGGTTGTTGAAGTAACCTCATGCTATTTTAGGTAGACAAATATTGGTAATGTATTGATTAACAAGTTCTTACCTCCACAAACTTGGATGCCTGTAGTAACATTTGTGTAGCTTGGCAAGTACTCGCATAATCTTTGTCCTTCAAATCGTAAACAACAGATAAGTCATTTAAGACATATTAAGTAAATAACAACAAAGTCCTGGAACTGATAAACTAAAATAACGAGGTATACAGCATTCTAAATCTGAAGGCTGAAGACAGCATTCAAGGCAAATATCCTATAACTTGTATTCTCTAGAAGAAAACCAAATGATAAAGCACATCTTACCTGTTGTAGAACTGTACAATAGACTGACTGTAGAGGTAGGAAGGCCTGAAACACAATAATTCAGATAGAATCGATCTTTCTAGTCCTTTCACAATCTAAATGACATAATCAGGGGATTTGGAAATTTGAGCTTTTCACAACAATATCAAAAACAAAATTTGAAAATTTATAGTAGTCATACATCAAGGTGGAATTATCCACGGCTAAAACATGAATATGTATTCTTACATACAGTAAAGTCACTAGCTTTCATGGGGGAACTGTGTTTGTTTGTTGATCTTGTTGTTACTATAAATCTACGAATTCATATGTTCACAAACTGATAAAATATAGGCAATAAGAACATTTACCAAGTCATCTTTTTCTATGAAATTAAATGCTCATGAAAAAGCCAAATTTTTGAAAAACTACGAAAATAGAGCCTCTCCAAAACATATTATTTTTTCAACACTATACAACAATGACAACATTGTTTGTAGAAATTTTGATTTCTCTGTTAAATAATAGTATCCTCAGTTGAGACAGTGGGGTCTCAGATAAACAAATTATAACTGACATAAAGCATAAATTATAATGACATTTTTCAATAAAGTACAGCTTGATAACTCTACAAACCTCCTCTGTTAAAATAGGCTTCATAGTCTGAGCAAGGCGACCAAGATTCTTTGAGTAATCCGTCTCTATAAAATACCAAATACAGAATATAAGCATTTTCATTTTGTTCACTATCTTCATTCCATTTTATGAATGAACATATCCTGAATCTCTTGTATGTATGATTTCTTTGCACTTGACAGGGCAATATGATATACATTGGTATCAATGCTGCTTACACAAAATTTGACTTTCCACTGATCAGCTATGATTTATATCAAATGATCTCCAATTATGAAAAATTAATGGAGTGCTTATATCATAATAATGTAAAGATTTATATATTTTTTAATAAGGTCCAACCTATTTGTCCATAGAGACCAATCCCCATTGTACATGAAAATATCACGGTGCATTCATTTGAATTTTTGTATGTTTTATGTCCTAAAAAAGAACTGAACATTTTATCTACATTTACACATAGGTGACATTTTGACCACAAGATGCTGCCTGCCAAATTTAGTTAAAAAAAGCCCAGTGCCATTCTTGACCAGCAGTCATTTCGATGAATTACAGTCAATGCATAATGAACTCACATACATGGCGTAATACAAATGCTTATCTTTCAAAACCTGCATATATATGATGTGACTTTACCAAGTTGAGCCTTGCGTTCTATGTAGGAGGTGACATCCTTCATATACTTGGACCAGACCTTGGCACGTTGTAGTGCTACGTCCACCCCTGCCTGTAGTTGGCATAGAACACTGTCCACCCCCTCTGTGGTCAGCACTGCAACAGCTTAAAATATAGCAAATAGAAATTACAAAGGGTACACGGTCTTTTAGTTCATAGATATATATGAAGTTAACTGTTGAAAATCATACTTAATTTTCCAAATGGTACCAACTTATCAATGAACAAATTTCTCTCAGCAATCTATGCCAGCTAACCTCTACAAATATATGTTATATGAATATAAGTGTCTGCTATGTCAAAAAGTTAATCTGACTCTCAAAAAGGGTAACTATAACTGTGAAATCAAACAGGTGGGAAAATAAGAAGCACTTTACAGGTATAGAATGCATTGAGCAAGAAATGTAACTGACTCACTAACAAAGTTGATGAGGATAAAAATCTATGACAATTTACTTACTTAACGAGGCAAAAGAAGTCTATTAGTTTCCATTATCAAGGCACAGTAGTCTGTCAGTTTCAGTTTACTCCTTGACCTAGTCTCTGCCTTTTAATTTCCCTAGTTTACTATTTGACCTAATTTCTATTCCTTATTGACCCTTTGACCTAGTTTCTATCCCTTAACCTAGTTTCTATCCAGCTGTAATTGTTCAAAGCAAATTTTCAGTTTAGTCCTATGGGCTTACCTTTGTTACTATCGTCAGCCTCTGGTACTTCTTCCGTTCTATCCTGCGTAGAGGACAAGCCATCATATGACTGAAAATATAGCCAAATCATACTTTAAGCCAAGATATAAAATTTCCGTCAGTTTCATTACACACACAAAATGTCAACTGCAGTTAGCATAGAATTAAGTACCATCCATGTTTCATTTACGGAATAATAATAATGAGTAATACAAAAGACTAAGACTTTTTTGAGACAAAAGATAAAACTAAATTTGAATGAATGAATTTGAATACTTAATCAATTTGATCTGTATAGTCATAAAGCTATTATTCCTTACCATTGCCTTCACCGTCTTCTCTTGGAAAGAGGTATCCTGGTCACCCATTAAGTACTCAGAGACACTGTCGGAAATAAAACAAATTCAGAATTACTGAACATATCAGAAATAATATCAATCACATTATTGAAGCCTGACTGTAACAATAAGGGAAATCAAGAGCCTAAACATTTCTGTAGTTTCCTTAGTATCTACATATATCTTCTTCTGTTGTCTTTTTAGTGTCTACATATATCTTCTTCTGTTGTCTTTTTAGTGTCTACATATATCTCCTTCTGTAGTCTTCTTAGTGTCTACATATATCTTCTTCTGTAGTCTTCTTAGTGTCTACATATATATTCTTCTGTTGTCTTCTTAGTGTCTACATATATATTCTTCTGTTGTCTTCTTAGTGTCTACATATATATTCTGTTGTCTTTTTAGTGTCTTCATATATCTTCTGTAGTCTCCTTAGTGTCTACATATATCTTCTGTAGTCTCCTTATTTTCTACATATATCTTCTGACACAGGGGCTATTGATAATATAGAGGACAAATGGGATCTTGTGGACTAAGAGCATAAGGTTTATATATCCAGGCACTTCTCTCTTCCTGGGATTCATTCTTGAGCTTGACAAATCTTAGGCTAAGACAGCAAAAGTTTTCTAGAATGACCTTCATAAGAACTATGTAAAATGTATCTTTTTACTTCATTCCTCGATATCTTATATTGTATCATTTGTCTTATCAACTTACAGTCTGTAGTTTTAATTCTTTATATCAGTTTCAAAGCCAAATACTGGTAAATGTTTACACAAGAATGGAATGAGAGAATAGGTCTGTTGTAGCACTTTTGAATGATAATCTTTGAAATGTTGAATCTTAGAGGTGCATGTTGGTCATGTCATCATCCACAAAAGATAGCACACCATCCAAACTAATCATAATATGCTACTAGTGGGTTTCCAGTTCCTGTGTACCCCATTTAATGCCCAACAACAAACAAGGAGTAAGAATTGTGCAGTTCACTATCATCATCAGATGGATATATAGTGCCACAGACAGGTAAGCCTTGACACAGGTACATTTTGGTATACATACCTACTGCTGAACACCAAGGCTAACTGGTCTATTGCTTCAGAAAAATGTATTTCTGCAGATGTAGTTGACGTTCCAACATAATCAAAACCTAAAAGAAATGGTAAAGAAGCATAGTATATTGATTTTAAAAATGGTATTTGTGAGCGTATGTCAGAAACGTATAATTTAAACTGTAGATTTGTTTGAAAATGTAACACATCATACTAAAATGAAATTCTCTTCATGTCAGAGTTAGGTTAATTATTTGTTACCATTCATATCACAACAGAAGAAATTGTTCAAATTCAGAAGAGTACAAACCACATGTTTGTAACACATTAGGCTTTGAAAATGAGATCAGTGGAAAAATAATGATGGAATAGCAAGTAATTTCGACCATAAGAGATATTATACTAGACCATGAACCCACTTTTGACCTTGGAGATGAGAGCTCCTGATGCAGCAAACAGCTCAGTGGACTGAAGGACTGGGTAGCTTTGCAAGATATTCTTCAAGGTATATAGCACTTCACCAAGTCGCTCATGCGTTCTGTGTCTCAAGTCCTCTCCAGATTCTGTAGGAAAATTCATATGCGTACTTATCCACTTTGAAATTTATTACAGACATTAAATCCGAACGATTCTGAAGACCTAAAAAGTAACTAAATGTTACAATACACTTGAACAAATGTTTCAATAATTTAAGGATTTTAATGCAGGAAACCGACATCTTTCATCATGTATTGTAATTCATGTAAACTACAGACCAAAAAGAAAGATTACATGCCTGTAGAAGTTTGACTCATGACCTTGAATATTGGTCAAGGTAATTCATATGGCTCTTTAATTCAGCAGGTTGCAGCTTAAATTACATTATACTGGTATATACAATTATCTCACATGTTTCCTTCAGAAGTTGCTAAATGATAGTACTCGACCTCTGTGACCTTGAATGTTGTTCATTCATTTAATTTTAACCACATTCATTTGGATGTATATGTATACAATGCCCTCAGACAGACAATAGACTAGCTATGATAAGTCAGGTTTCCTTGTCTGTAACAAATCAAATAGCAAACCAGTGGTGTTAGGGTGGTCCAGTTTTATCACATTTGTCTTTCACCTAGTCTACCAGGGTTCAGTCCCCCAACATGAATGTGAAAACGTTTGAGGTCACCTGCCTGACTATATAAGATTTTCCCCGAGTACTCTGGAATCCTTTCACACAGTAAGACCCCATTCATGTTTCCATCAAGGCTAACTGGACTTGAAAACTTCATTGCATTGCGGTTACATAAGTCAAATTAAGTAAACGAATAATTGCCAAACAAGAAAAGTTAATATAAGTTGATATAAAAAAGTAAATATTACAAATAGTGACCTGCAAGCCTTTGATTCTATTTTTTTTATAATATATACATTTATCCTGCAACTGGTCAAATTAAGTAAACGAATAATTGCCGAACAAGAAAAGTTAATATAAGTTGATATAAAAAAGTAAATATTACAAATAGTGACCTGCAAGCCTTTGATTCTATTTTTTTTATAATATATACATTTATCCTGCAACTGGTGCTGACATTGTTGGAATTCACCTGTAACATATATTTTTGCTGTTTGTATAGAATAACTTTTTGTGATTACTCAAAAATTATGTTTAACAATAGCAAAAATGTTAAAAAAATAAGTGATCGTATATGTTTTAATGAACAAGGTTATTTACAGCAATTCATATTCGTCGAAATTTGGAACTATATTTCTATGCAGAGCAACCATTTTGGTAGATGTTATCAAGCAAACGTCAACGTCCGGTAAACAAAGATTGAACAACAAAACTGTGTGAAGTTTTCATTGTCTGATTTGCAACCAATGTTGCAGAACAAATAGAATACTTGGACATTGTCTTGAAATATAAGTTGCATTTTGGCTCAGAACAGAAAGACAAAAGTGGCTCATCACTTTTGACTTTCACCACCCTTGCTAAACTACAGCTTATATTTTACGACACTGACCATGTATTCTCTCTCTCTCTACATATATATGTGTGTGTGAGAAAGATGTCCTAAGGCTATATAACTAACAATACAGTCAAACCTTGTTATCTCTCATTCATATAACTCCAAAACCTTGTATAGTTTTAAGGTATTCTTTCGGTCCCGGCCAAATTTCTTACTAAACATTCAAACTAACTTAAATCGAATACTCAGATAACTGGAAGTTATAGTCCCGCTGATTTCAAAACAATGAGGTTTGAATGAATTTGATATGGCAAACAATCTAGAACAGTTTCTTTAATGGATTCTATCATTAGGATCTACCACTTACAATATCATAAATAACAAGACATCACAGACAATGTGAATACCCTCGCTCCCAAAACTTGTATGAAATTTTAAGTGTAAAATAAAAATGCAGAGTTATTTGGCCTGTTTCATAAGGCAATCTGTGCATGAGAAATATGTGTTAAAAATCTAAATTATTACTTTATATTGTGAAAGAGCATGTTGAAACTTTGAGTAAAAGTGACACAAAAAAAATCTGTCAATTTCTATTTCTAATTTCTAAATCGCAGCCTGTAGAGTGGTGATTTCGTTTGGGATACATACAAACAAACACATGTACATATGTACAGGCAGATCCCTACATACCCTCAATTATTTACTTTCTTCCTGAGGGCATGATAAGCGAAAGGCTTACCTGAGCACTCTCCAAAGACTCCTTTAAGTCTAGCAAGTCCATCTGAGAACCGCTTGACATTATGCGTGAGGTTGATGATGTCATCATGGTCAACAATGGCACCATCAGATGAGTCATTGTGGATGCTACCAAGAGATGTACTTTTGTTAAGTTGTTGGGTTGGACCACTGGCCTTCATTCCAGGTGCAGCAGACTCACTCACCACACCTTGGGATGGGGTCACCTGCAACACAAAATAAAGTTGTAAGTTAAGTCTTAACAAACTCATTCGGCTATAGATTATAGGGCCCCTCTATTACATAGCTATCAGCAAAGTTTCATCAACCACAACTGAAACCTATTTAGCAATAACTAATAGAATTCAGCTAAGTCTCACCCTTCACACCCTAGGATGACCACCTACATGTACATCACAAACAGGGGTGTCAAGCCCTCATCATCCTGGAAAGCCAGGTGTCTAAGTCTCACCAATCACAACTTGGAAAGCCTGATAAGTCCCACTGACCCATAACACAAATAATAGTGTCAGTAAAGCATACCTGACCTCAACACAAACAAATTTGGGCTACATCATTGAAATTAAGATTTGGCTCCTAAATCGCAAAAATGTCTCACCCACCACTCTCTTGGAATGGGTCCTCTAAATCATTAACATTGATTTCAGGTGTCAATTCAATTCTCAAGTCTCACCCACCACACCCTGGGACTAGGCTCCAGAGACCTTTACCATAAACAAATGTGTCAATAAAGTCTCATCCACCATTCATTGAGACTAAGCTGCACTGGCCTTTATTTGTAAATAAAGGTATTAGGTATCATTGAAGTCTCACCTACCACACCCTGGGACTGGGCTCATTAAGCCTTTATCAAAGGTTTCAATAAAGCCTTACCTACCTCCATCTGAGTTTAGGCCTAATAGGCCTTCACAATCAACAAAAGTGGTAGGTGGCAGGAAAGTCTCACCCATCACACCCTGGGACTGGGCCCACTAAGCTCTACCATAAACATATATGTCAGGTGTCGGTAAAGTCTCATACACCATACACTGAGACTAAGCTGCATTAGCCTTTGTCACAAATAAAGGTGTTAGGTATCATGGAAGTTTCACCCATCACACCCTGGGACTGGGCCCACTAAGCCTTTTCCATAAACAAAGGTGTCAGGTGTCAATAATGTCTCACACTATACATTGTTAGACAAGGCCCCATAGGCCTTTACCATAAACAAGGGTGTTGGGTGTCAGTAAAGTCTCACCTACCACATCTTGAAATTAGGCTCCAAAGGTCCTTATAACAGATAAATAAGTCAGGTGTCACAGAAGTCACATCCACCACACCCTGGGACAAAGGCCTATATCCTTATAACAGAAATAAATACAAACCAATGTGTCAGGTATCACAGAAGTCTTATCCACCACACCCTGGGACAAGGCCCCCTAGGCCTATATCAAACAAAGGTATCGGTAAAGTCTCACCTACTTCATCCAGAAACTAGGTCCCAAAGGTCATTTTTACAAACCAATGTGTCAGGTATCACAGAAGTCTCATCCACCACACCCTGGGACAAGGCCCCCTAGGCCTATATCAAACAAAGGTATCGATAAAGTCTCACCTACTTCGTCCAGAAACTAGGTCCCAAAGGTTATTTTCACAAACCAATGTGTCAGGTATCTCGTAAGTCTCTTCCACCACACCCTGGGACTAGGCCCCTAGGAATTTGGTACAAACAAGAGTGTTGGGTATCAGTAAAGTCTCACCCACTAAACCCTTGGACTGTTGGGACTTGAACTGCTAGGTCTTTAAAGAAATATGTCAGTAAATTCTCAACCTTCCACACCTACCACCGATTTAAACATTACATACTTTCTACAAAAATTTGATATATTCTGTGGTTTAAAGTTGTTCTTGTGCCCTATGCATTTGGTTCCACTAGACTACCTACACCAAACATCATAGTGATCACACCAATTTGTAATTATCATCGTCATCATACACCAATAGTAATGACACAACATTATAAAAGAAGGACTCCTGCTTAAAGTCATCATACCACACACTTGGCTTGAATTTCATGTGTTTAAAATGCCTCCGAGAAGTGAAGTCAGTTTGAAATATGGTCTGTTTGTCAATCTTTGTAAAACTTTTGAAATTTTCTTTAATGAAATCCGAACAGAAAGAACATTTGAATTTTATATTTAACAAGTGATATAAGAATATATGTCAAATAATGAAAAAATGTTCATTCTGTTGCTATGGTATCAGAAAGACTAAAATAATGTAAGCTGTTCCATAATGGTTCATTTTAGGCCAGAAAACAATTGCTTTTATCATTTTTATATCTGTAAACTTTAAAATTGAAAAAATGTAACTGAACTTTAATGAAGGAAAACTGTAAATATAAGGATTCAATTTACTTGAATTCAACTGTAGTTATGCCTTGATAACATCAACAAAACAGAAAGTTTATTCTTAAATATCGCACAAACTCCACTATAAACATTTACTATTGGAGTATTTACATTTTACCATGTAAACCAACTACACCACACACATTGATCACTTGAATATAACATAATTTATGTCACAGAATTTTGTTTAACCTTACCACACACAATGATCATTAGAATATTTACATATTTCATATCACAAAAAATAACTTTACCACACATTGATAATACATTTTTTTACATATATTACATCACAAAAACAACTTTACCACACACATTTTTCCTAAGAGCATTTAAAGATCTCATGCCAAAACTCTTCAGATTTTACAACTAACATGCCTGTGCACACACTTGTGAGTCTGAATGTATCTATATATATTCACACACAATTCTACCAGTATAAATCCACTTACAGTAAATTACCCACTGAATATACTTGTAAATATATCTACCACTATATCATGTAAAACATAAATATGTATAATATCAGTATTAGTGATTTCATGTATTTCTCATACTCCTACAATGTGTAAAATCTGACGCTGTAGTAAGATAAGTATATATATATCTACGTTAGTTTTATGAAATTATAAATGTACAACTGCACAGTAGTATACACAAAACAAGTATAATTAATTATTTTGTAGACATAAATGATCCTAGTGTCTGTATAGGTATGCAGCAATAACATACAGGTATGTGTGTGAAAAATGGCACTTTGCCCCATCTCTCCTATAATGTAAACACAGCAGTACAGATGGCAGTGTTACACCAGCACGCTATATTATAAACTCAGATATACAGACATGAAGTGTTCCAGCATTGTTATGACTATACTGGGCTTTTCATACTTTCAGTAAGTACATATTGAGTGTACATTCTAATATCCTTAAAAGTATGGTCTGGTTACAGGAAATATGAATGTATGGTAACAGCTGATAACTTATGAACCCATACCAGTTCTCTAGAGTGATTCACTCCATTGGCAATGAAAGTTTATATCAGCATGTACAGGCATTCTTGTGAATTCTAGGTGTGTTCATAACAGATGGCGAGATTTGCCTAAATCTTTGATGATTGTAGGGTTTTCTTACAGCCAGGAACAGCCATATGATAACATTGGCACACTTTAGAGATTCATGAAATCTCCATTTATATGTGACTCAGGTTTCACTCTGAAAATGATAAAATATTCAAATTCTTTCTAAAACCATACAGCATCCCAGATTTCTACAAAACGTAATATACATACCTTGACAACATAATCAAACACAAAATCCTCATCAACCTCCGATTCTTCCACCAGAGTATCCATATTGAAGTAACAAGTATCGTATACAAATCCCTTCAGCAGAAAGTTGAACAGATTTACCAGCACACAGAGAGTTATCAGTATACATGTACACAACACCAGCCCCACTATACCACTTTAAGACCCACACTGGCCGTAAAGCCATGAAATATCACTATCAAGCCAGTAAAGTTTGAAAGACAAGGGGAGTCTCACCTGTAAACAGGAAATCAATTTCAGGTAAACATTCTTGTGAAAGTATATTTGTAGGGTGATCTGTCCCATAGCCTCTAGCCAGCCCATCAACAACAACATAATGAGAGATCTGTATTCATGGCCATTACAATCACCCATCCCTTAAGTTGTATGTGATAAGAGGATAAACCACCCTTTATATCAATTGAAGTTCAAACTGATATTCTTTGTCCAAATTAACATGACAATACAACACAATTTGAAATATTCTTTTAATAACCAAGACCTTAAAATATTTGATAGAATATTTACAGTAGATCTGAAAGTTCAATAATTGTATAGAATCAAATGATACAACACAAATTTGAAATATTCTTTTAATAACTAAGACCTTAAAATATTTGATAGAATATTTACAGTAGATCTGAAAGTTCAATAATTGTATAGAATCAAATGATACAACACAAATTTGAAATATTCTTTTAATAACTAAGACCTTAAAATATTTGATAGAATATTTACAGTAGATCTGAATGATACAACACAAATTTGAAATATTCTTTTAATAACTAAGACCTTAAAATATTTGATAGAATATTTACAGTAGATCTGAAAGTTCAATAATTGTATAGAATCAAATGATACAACACAAATTTGAAATATTCTTTTGATAACTAAGACCTTAAAATATTTGATAGAATATTTACAGTAGATATGAAAGTTCAATACTTGTACAGAATCAAACAATATTCTTTATAAGTCAGTTCACAGGGAAGAATCTTCAAATGTACTGATTTCCATAGGATTGGATATTTAAGGCAATATGATAGTGTAGAAGTTTAAGTCAAACATGGATGCATCAAAATATCCAATTATCATAATACTGAGATGCATTTCAGCAAAATGCTTTACCAGATATCTGAATATTTTAAGATCACCCAACATGCAACACAAAGATATTACATGTATCAAACTTCTTTCAATAATTATCAAGCCTCACTTTACGCCAAACCGATACATGGAATGCAACATAAATGATCTGTCTGATACTGGGAAATATTAGCTTAACAATGCATCTGTGTACCAGGATATGTAAACATCACCAATAAAGTATATGTATGTTACACTTCTGACAACTTACAACAACTAAAGTGATATATGTCTTGTGTCTCACCACGGCCTACTGCCCCTATAGTAACCAGCCACTGGAGCCAATCACAGTAATCATTGCTAATTGATCTTAATGCATTGATAGCTCTCTTCAAAAGGCCCACATCCATTAAGTGCTCCCTGTACAAATTGTGATGTAGAGGGGTTAATGGAGATGCTACCTCATCAGCCTGACGCAGTACACCTCATCACCTGGCAAAGTCTACAACTTCCTTGTGCATTTTTATGTGCATGCATGCAGTATGCACTCATAACAAGTGCTAGGTCAACTAGTTGGAGCACTTCTACTCAATACTGTAAACTTATACATCACGTTTTTATGTAGTTCAATCAACCTAAAATTACATCAATTTCTCCTTTAAAAATCTCGCGATAAATTAAAAAAAATCACCACAGGACATTAAATTCCAATTATCAAAGAACTTTTGAATATAAGTTCACAAATTTATATGTATATAGAGGTGATACAACAAGTGATTTTTGTATATGATATTTCTCTCACTTAAATGAGTAGTTAAAAGACAAAAATTAATACTGACAAGAAAATGTTCCTACCAATTAATTTGTTCATGTGTTATCAAACATGATGAATTTGCTATCAAGTGTTTGTAAGTGAATCTTGTTCTTGAGACCTGTTTGAGGACACCAGCCCTGGGATGACACATATACATGGATACATCACAGAAGAATCATAGATCTTTGTTTATCTGGAGATTTGCTCTTATGAACAGGACTTGTCTTTTCACCTGCATCAATGGAGAATAGGGGTCAACATATACATATTTACCCTACATTGTTGCTTTCAGGCCTGGATAGAAACTCTGCTACTAGGCTACTAGGAAATTATTAAATGTACATGTGACATCAATCAACTCGACAATCATAAAAAGCTACTCAGCATCTGGATATTATCATACTTTAACTACAATGTTGGTTTTTTTTAATTATTGTTCCCCTAGGCCTCTAATATATTGCATATGACTTTGTGACCTTACCAAATGACCTTGCATGATCTCCATGTAGTAATATCTACTACAAACTCCTGAAAAATGTATAGATTTTGCATCAGTATTATGTTAACTATGTGAAGAAAATGTGTGTGTATGATCTTGGACTTAGTTCAATAAAGTAGCAAATAACATCAATAACAGTACTGTGTTATAATTCAATACCTGTACCTACAATTCATTTTTCTGTTATTTCAGTTAATGATCAACCATGATCATGTACAAAATTGTATTTTTTCTAAGTAAAGCTCCATCGCAATTCTGTGAATTTTACCACAAAAACCAACAAGATAGTAAAAATGTCACACACAAAATTAGACATATTTTCTCATTGAATGATTTCCATCTCCTTTGTTAACGGGAGCCATAAATATAACCTCAACTATTTTGTGAAGTAAGGAGAAGTACAGGGTCAAAAAGTCACATTGCTACAAGAGCAAAGTGACCTTGACCTTTGCCCAGGACTGTCCTAGACACAAAATTTCTGCTATGGACACCTGAAGTCACCCTATGTACCTTTATGACTTTTTTTCTGCATTCTTTGATAAAAAGCTGTAACATATCAGTAGATACAGACTCCTGTCAAATGAGTAAGTGTTTCATTAACCAGGATCATGCTCCTTACGCAATGCTTGGGTAACATCCGACTCTTCTAGGATAAGGGAAAACTCCTGTTCATCTTAATAATCCAGGGCTCTCGATCTGCCAGATTTTGAGCCGATATTCGGCCCATTCCCAATACAAAATAATATCTTTTTTCCCAATTTAGACCCCAAGTTTTCCCAATTCTGAAGAAAACGTCGCTATTTTCCCCAATTCTAAGGGCCCCAGGCCCGAGTCCCAAAGTGGGGTGTGAAAGCCCTGTAATCAAATGTTTGATAATAAAATATTGAAAGATGTCAATAAGATTTGGCTTAAAGTGATACTAAATCAATCACAACAAGTGAACATTAAATCCTCCACTACATTGATATCTTCTATGGTACCGATTTCCTTTTGATTGTATTGATTTATTTTATAAATTACACTATGTGTTATTACAAATATGAACTATTTTTGCTGAAATAATATCAATTTACAAGATGCTGGTGACATTTTTTGGAAAATCAGTCAATTTTCTGGACAGGTGAATTCTTTTTCTGAACAAGTACTTTTTACTTGTCCACTAGACTGATGGACATATGCTTTTGAAAGTTTTTGCACTGCCCTCATGAATGCTTTGCAAACTGGAAAAGCAAATGAACTGAAACACATGTATATCTGATAAATAAAACACAATAAATGCATTGAGATCTTGATGAGATCAGCTATTGTAATTGTCAGTCACATGAAAGATTTCTCTATTAGTAAGCAACAATGCAATATTTCAACCAATCAGAAACCTCAGTTTGGTTCCTATGAAACAAACCTCCTACAACAATGTTCTTAGTCTTTGCCCATAACAGCAGAAGTTTTTGCAAAGAAATTTGGTGAACTGTAATTATATCTTCTTATCACCAGATAACGTAACTTTTGACCCACAGCCTAAACAGCAAACTCATGCAATTCATTCACTCAACACCAGCAAAATGTTTCCTTATCATCTCATTACACTTTACACCTTAGTACAAATACACTCACTCGTGTCATTTGTAAGACAATAGATGTTCTTAAACAGTATCACAAAACAGGAAACAAAACCAGGAAAGCTTTCGTGTGATGGTGACAGAGTAGTCATGGAAATGTCACATCTAAGTTTTTTCTTTAAGAACATCTATTCAACAAGTGTTTAGTTATGTTATGGTCAGTAAAAAATGATAACTGCCTAAACTGTAAGCTGATAACCAGCCTTTGGTCTAGAATGTCAAATATCTTGTACTGTACTGTACAAAGCAACACATTGAGACAGATACACCTGGTATTCAATTTGATGCACAAGCATCACATACTTCCAGGAAAGCTAATAGAAAAATGTCAACAAGTGTCACAAATGTAACGACAAAGTAACTTTCCTTTAAGAAGTTGGGATACACATCCCATATGCTTCAACAGATAGAGTAACCAAAGTATAAAACCAGCACTTGTATGATGACCTAGTTTTCAATCGATGTGAATTGTCAGATTATGAAAATGTGAACTTTGTTGACATAGTGCGTAATATATTCTTGACTACTATAATGTTCGTAAAAAAGAAACAAAACCATTGGGTACACATGAAGTTTTAAGTACATATGTAAACTTATAGTCATCAAGATGAGGTGTGAATTTGGAAATTTGAACAATTTTTCAAAATCTGCTGTACAGGACACTGACAGTAATTATCAGGTATCTAAAATGCTAATTATATAACCAGATAGTGCCGTCAGGATGTACCAACCAATATGTGAACTAGATATTCGGTTAGCCATTCTGGCATTAGTTGCCACTATTTCATTTTCAAAGTAACAAATAAGAGTAACATGTTTTGACTCATCAGTTTTTCAAATAACCTGCATTTTTTCTTTCAAGATGACTTGCTTTGAACCACCTCAAGAGTTACTCTAAACACTGGCACTGGGATATTGGTATCTCACTTATCCTGATTATAGTTGTTTGTACAACCAAATACACATTGATCAAACATCTATTAATTGAGACAATGATATATCAGAGTGGGTTAATGAAAGGGGCATGACAACATTTCTTGCAGTCTAATTGTTAGTTTGATTTGTTTTGCTTTCTAAGCTCTCTGACAAATTCGTGCAAAAACATTTTGAAAATCAGAATTAATGTGGATAAAAGGAAATAACTAATCTTGATGTGTTTATTACAGACCAAGATATATCTTGGCAAGATTTTTTATTTGAAAATGAGATAAGATATTAATTGATCCAAGAAGAAGTCAAGTGAACGGTTGAACCTTAAGATTAAACAATAAGTCTTACTTCTTTCTCACGTTTTCAAGAATATAGGGCCTACTAGTACATATTTCAGAATCGGTTCATGTCGGTATCCGTTCAAACAGGACACACTTCAAATCTTACCATGCAGTACATCATATAGTAATAATGTCGTTACTTACTGCAATATAATGCACAAAGAAGAATCTAGTACATGTTTAATACCGCATATTGTACCTGCTCTTTTTCGTCCGTATCCCCCAGTTTTTTCTTCAACTTTCCTGCAATGTTTATACCGATTTTTCGTCCCTTTGAGTACATCTCGCACTTTTGGGCGATCCAAGATATCAATATTCATCAATTTTCTTCATGTCGACCCTATGGCATGTTTTAAATTTATTTTATTTTTTGCCCAAGTTGACATTTTTTTCTCCTCACTCTGTATGTATAGAAGTTCACACACACACATACATTTAATATTGTCATTTTCATGTGTTGCTTTGGTCCAACATGTATATATAAAACATAAACATTATCATCACACACATCAAATCAAAACATGTATATATTAGGATGGAACACAAACTATTTTACATCATACACATCATCATTTAATTACATTGTGTCATTTTCATCATAGTTCAAACTTTATTCGGTTGATGTATCTATGAAAGAATTCAGGAACAAGTACTTATGTATATCCATCTCCATATTTTTTTATATTTATTTTATTTTTTGCATTTTTTCATTGTATGTACACAAAGAAGTTCACACACACACGCCCTTACATACATACATACACATCCAACATGTATCATCACATCATCACACACATCATCATTAAACATGTATCATACACATCATCATCATACACATCATCATTAAACATGTCATCATTAAACATCATACACATCATCATCATAAACATATATCATCATCATCATCATCATACACATCATCATTAAACATACACATCATCATCATTAAACATGTATCATCATCACATCATCATCATCATACATGTACACATACACATCATCATTAAACATGTATCATCATACACATCATCAATTATACATCATCATTCATCACATCATCATACAACACATCACCATTAACATGTATCATCATACACATCATCATTAAACATACACATCATCATTAAACACATACACATTACACATCATCATTAAACGTGTATCATCATACACATCATCATCATATGTACCATCAACACATCACCATAAACATATAACATCATCATCATACACATCATCATTAACATCATCATACACATCATCATTAAACATGTATTATCATACACATCATCATTAAACATGCATGTATTATTATACACATCATCACCATACAACACATCATCATTAAACACATGTATTATTATACACATCATCACTCATACACATCATCATTAAACATGTATTATCATACACATCATCATATGCATACACATCATCATACACATCATCATTAAACATGCATGTGTATCATCACACATCACCATTAACATGTATCATACATATCATCCTCATACACATCATCATTATTCATACATCATCATTAAACATCATCCTCATACACATCATCATTAAACATGTATTATCATACACATCATCATTAAACATGTATTATCATACACATCATCACTTACATGTATTATCATACACATCATCCTAATACACATATATATCATCATTAGCATGCATCATCATACACATCATCACTAACATGCATCATCATCATCATCATCATCATCATCATCTACGGATTTGTCAAATTGTGAGTGTTCATCATATATCTAATGTACAGCATAAATAATCAACTTTTTTTATATTTATTTTATTTTTTGCATTTTTTCATTGTATGTACACAAAGAAGTTCACACACACACGCCCTTACACACATACATACATACATACATACATATAAGAAAAAAGGAGAGAAGAGACAGATTATGATAGAAAATGGTTATATAGAGGAGAGAAAGAAGGCAGATGGCTAGAGAGAGGAAGAGAGAAAGAAAGCAGATAGGGAAGGAAACAGGAAGGAATTCAAGACTTAAATAAAACTATATAAGGCAGATGGTGATTTTAAATAATTTACCAAACTGAAAATTTGTTGGTACAGATGATGGCCATTGTCAGGGACTGGTAACCATATCAGGTTTATTGATTCATATTCAAAATTAAGTATTGAGTATCTTAATTATGTTTGAGTAAAAAAATCATATATCGATATAGTAACAGAGTGGTAGTAATATTAGTCGTTCATGATTTTTATAAATTTCTCCCATTTTTTCCACCCTAGTGCAAATTTGTCTTTAACCCTTTCCCCTTTAGTATACGTGATATATTTTTGAACCTTATAATAATCATGGATGGCACAGGTTAGAGCATTAATGCTGAGGGACTTATGTAAACATCTAGTTCTGTAAATATATTGTTTTATGAGTAAAATAATTTGGTTATCAACACTATATATTAGGTTGGTCCCATTATCTATCTTGCCAAAAAGTATTGTTTGTTTGTTAACAGTAAAAGGAATATATAAAGCATCTAGTAATCTATCTAGACTTTGCAAAAGATTCTGGACTTCATCACATTCCCAAAACAGGTGTACAATTGTTTCTGTCTCAGCATTACAGAGAGTACATAAAGGACTATCTAATATCCTTACTTTAAAAAGAAATGAGTTTGTAGTTAAGATGTTGTGGGAAATTCTAAACTGTAGCCATTGAAATTTGGAACTTTTAGTGACTTGAAAAGGTAATGTATATATAGCTAGCCAGTCATCATTTGTGAAATCAAAATGTTCCCCCCACTTTTCCCTTCCCTTGGACACAAGTGATTTAATATTGTTAAGTATTCCATAAAATCTCTTTGAACCTTTATTGATATCTAAAAAAATAGATATGTGGACTGGTAGAGTAGGACGTATAAATTTATACTCAACAATATTATAATTCTGCAAGCTTTTCCTTATTGCTGAAATTATTGCATAATATTTCAAAAAATCAGTGTTTATGTTAAATTTCTGAATAAATTCCTCATATGAAAACAAAGTGTTATTACTAAAATCCTTAACAAAATCACCAATTAGATAAACACCTTTTTCATACCAGTGTGGGTAGAAGATTGTTTTACCTCCAATGGTAATATTACAATTATACCATACAGGTGTTAGCAAGAGTGATTTCCCTTTGATTGTTTTCATATTTTCTGAATTTTCTAATCTCCCCCAAGCTTTTAATACATCTTTCCAAAACAAATTATCACATATATCTGTACTTACCTGAATAAAAGTGCCTCCAATATCTAAAAGCCTATTAATGTTTACGGATTTTATCAGAATGCATTTCCATTTTCCAGAAGACTGATATAACCGTTTGATCCAACTCAATTTCAATGAATCGATAAAATTAGCAACATGCAGCATTTTTAACCCACCAACTGTATAATCCTGAACTATAGTTTCTCTTTTAACTTTATCAACTTTACTGTGCCATAGAAATTCAAATAATATAGAGTTAATTGTCTGGATTGTTTTACCATCTGGATTGGGCAGGGAAATAAATAAATGATTAAACTGTGAAATCATCAAAGATTTAATTAAGTGGATTTTTCCTATGGGAGTTAAATTGCGTCTACTCCAAGTATTTATAAGGCTTTTTAGTTTTACTATTTTCTTATCAAAGTTCATTCTGACCATTTCATGGAGATTAACACTGAAATCAATACCCAATAAACAAAATGTTTCTTTTCCCCATTGTAAGTCTAATTCTGGTAAAAATTTATCTTGACTGTGTTTCTTGCTACCGATCCAAATGACTTCTGTTTTATCGGTATTCATTTTTAAGCCTGAGATATCTGCAAATGTTTGTAATTCACTTATTGATTCTCTTAGGGAGTGTTCCGTACCATCTAAAGTCAAATAAGTATCATCTGCATACTGAGAAACTAGAATGTCTGTATCATCAACTTGGATGCCATGTATATTTTTATTGTTTCTGAATCTAATTGCAAGAATTTCTGCACAGAGAATAAAGGTGTATGGTGCTACCGGATCGCCCTGACGACAGCCTCTTTTAATAGAAAAGAATGATGACAGATTACCCCCTTGATTTACTGAAGCCCCTACATTTCTATGAAAAAGTTTTATCCAGTTACGTATACTATTTCCAAAGCCAAAATAAATCAATACCTTTTCTATGAATTTCCAGGACACTGAGTCAAATGCCTTTTCAAAATCTACCATAAGAATCATACCAGGAATGTCATTATCTTCTGTGAATTTCATAACATCATATAGTAGCCTAGTGTTTTCACCAATGTATCGACCCGCTAAAAACCCCGTCTGATCCTTATTTATGAGTTTATCAAGTACGGATTTTATCCTTTTTGCAATTACCCCTGAAGCTATTTTATATACAATGTTCAATAGAGTTATTGGTCTCCAGTTTTTAATAAAATGGCGTGGCTTACCTTTCTTTGGAATGCAAGTAATAATCCCATAACGTTGTGTGATTGATAATTCCCCTGTAATGTATCCATAGTTTAAAGACCTAACAATAAAAAGACCAAGTTGTTTCCAGAAAAACTTGAAAAATTCAGCTGTATAACCATCTGAACCAGGACTTTTGTTATTTTTCATATTTTTTAGAATATTATATGCTTCTTTAATAGTTACTAATCCTTCTAAATTTCTAGACTCAGCTTCATTAAGTTTTGGAATGTTTTCAAAATCAAGAAAAGTTTCGAGTTATATCATCTAAATTATTATTTGAGTCATAAAGTTTTTCATAAAAATACCTTATTTCATTCAAAATATCTTCTTGTTTTGTTACAAAACTACCATTACTAAGCTGATCCATCTCCATATATTTATAGAATAGCTATGGAACGATATTGACAATAATGCATCTTACTTGTGCGTGGAAAGGGAGCGAAAGTGTGTAAGGGTTTAGAGGGAGGTGATGCTGGGGGTATTTCTGCACTATTGGAACAAACGCTAATTGCATGACATTTGGACTGCATATGTTATGGAAAGTGGTATCTTACGCAAACAATGCTGCAGGTCCAATTATAAATTGACGCAATAGAGATACAACGTTAGGTATAAGTTTTTACACTGACGCTATATGTAGAACAATGTGTTATAGCTGTTGTAAATACCACAACAATATACATTATTTCAAGTTTAAAGAAGAGATATTTAATTTAAAACGTTTGATTTGACTGATAAAGGTTTGCACACAATCAAAAATAGTTTTATTATACTGAACTGGCATGTCTGGACTACAATGA